GTTCTTCGGTTATCAGTCTTTACTGATACCCGTTTGCTGCGTGTAAGTGTGAGTGAGTTGTAGTAGGCTGATTACTGCGGGGCTGCACGCTGAGACTGACTTAGCCGCTCGACTGTCACACCAAAACAGTCACCTCACAGCGAGGATCCTTAACCTCTTTTTCTATTTCCTACCACACCCTTTTTACTTTGTGTGGTTATATTCACATAGAGGCTCACAGCTCCACACTAGCCTGACACACAACCCTCTGAAAGTGCGGTAATTTGCGTTCGATGTTTACGGTGGTGTTGTGTATCAGGATTCCTCAGGTGATGTGTCACGTTTAAATGTCACAACTAAGTGGCAAAGAAGTCAGTGTCTATTTTAGTCTTACTAAGGAAAATATGGTGCATGCTAGCAGCATCTCTAGTGATGGACATCAAATATTTCAGATTGGACCTTTAGTTGTACAGTGACAGTTCAGATTAGAGAGTAAACTGCAAACTGTCTGAGCCCCCTGTCTTCAGATGCCCCGCACTGATTGGCTTAGACTCAGATTTGAGTAGTCTGTCTCACTTTGCTGAGACAGCTAATCAGAACAACACTGACCTTTGCCCTGACTGTGTGTGTGTGTGTGTGTGTGTGTGTGTGTGTGTGTGTGTGTGTGTGTGTGTGTGTGTGTGTGTGTGTGTGTGTGTGTGTGTGTGTGTGTTTGCATGTTAATGTATTATGAGCAGGACAATGAGCGGGTTCTTGTAAGCGTGAGTTCACTTGTGTAATCCAACCGCACAGCCTATTTATCCCTCTAAATCTCAGGTTATGTAATGAGTAAGCCTAAGTACTGTCACTGCTGACCTCAACAATGACCCGTTGGATTATTTTTATGGAGCCACTTTCTGCAAAGATGATTAATTATTTCACAAATTATGTAAAACATAAAACAAAAACATGCACCGTCAAGGCAAAAAACTCAAAGGGAGTCATTTTTGGTGGTTATCTGATCAAATTTCTCTAGACTGAGATGGCTAATCACACTCCGCTGTATCTCTACATACTTATTTTATCCAACTATTTATTTGATAACTTTACATATTTCTACTCTTACTCTTATCTTACTTTTTATATTCTTCAATGCACCCACTGTTTAATAGCATTTTCTCTTTTTCACACCTACACCAATCAGTATACTGTATATATAGATAATTACATCGTGTATTTTTTTCATCGTATAGCCTAGTCATACCTGCAGTAACCAACGCTGCGTATATATTTTTAACATATTCATTGCACTATATAGTAAATTCAGTTCCTACCTTGCACTTTGCTACTAAACTGCATGTCATTGTTCCTGTACTTGTACTGTGTTCAATGACGATAAATGAATCTAACCTAATGGCTTTAGCATTAATGATGCCCACTGTATGTCTATGTAAGATGTAGTTGCCTCTTTGCAATAGAAGCTAAGTGTACTGTACAAGCACAGATCCTGCAGAGTTTTGCAGGGTGTACTCACGCACAATAAACCAGTTTTATTGTTATGATCGCACACGCTATGATTGGCCTTACAGTGAATAAAGACAAAGACAGTAGAGGCTTACAAATCATCTGAATTATGTGTGGCGATCACTGTAGCCTCTGGGTGTATTTTGCATTTATATAAGCAAGCATAAAAGTAAGATTACAGGTACAACGCAGGTACACTGCATGTTTCACTGCCTGCTTTGTCTTCAAGCAGAGGAAATTTAAATGGACTAAAACTCTACCCTCTGCTCTTCAGATCAAATTAATGCAAAGTTTGATATGAGTAGTAATGAAACAGGAATCAGATAAAGCCTCATAAAAATGAAACCTCTGAGAAATGAGGGTCAATTTGTGAGCTGCACAATACCAACATTTAAGACGTTTGAGACTGGGATCTTTATTCCACTGATCTTTCAGATTGCGTTTGGCATTATCCCGCTTATACAGCAGTTAAGTTCCAGGGATTTCGACTATTCCCCAAATCCTCTCTCCATTTAAGCCTTTTAAAATACCACAAAACGTGCTCCAGTTTTTGTTACTTACACTGACCAAAAACAGGTGAGTACACCCACTCTGCATTGCCAGGCTGTGATTGTTCCTTGAGTTCGTTTCCTGTTGGCCTTTTTTTATTCACATGAATGTAACCTTTGGATGGCATGTTTTTTCCTGTAGAAGGAAATTGTTGTACTTGAAGCTTGCATTTCTTAAGTATGTTGCAATTCTCATACATGTTCACGTGTAAATTGTTGAATAGTAATCCCTGGAGTGGCCTGTCAGCCTACAGGCTGGCGTTAAGCTATTACCTCAATCTGAGGAAATCCTTACATTGTAGCTCGTGACAAAGGTTGAGAGGTCAGGTTTGCCAAAAATAGAAAAAAGGGCGAGTAACAGAAGTCCAAAGAAAGAAAGATTGTAGTTTTACGAGGAGGTGGGCTAATGAGATGAGTGTGACACAAGGGCTTTCATATAGTGTATGTTAGGGCCCGACCGATATGGATTTTTTGGGGCCGATACCAATTATTAGGGGGGAAAAAAATCTGATTACTGATTAATCGGCCGATTTTTTAAAATTTTTATGAAGTTATACAAAACATATATATATATATATATATATGTGTATATGTGTATATATATCCATACTGTAGATATACTGTAGGCTACTGCTTTTCACGCCAAAAGGAAGACTGACCGATCAAACTTGGACCAGAAAAGCGTTTTCAACAACATCGTGAAGTGGGCTGAACTGAAACTTGTTGACTTATTGTCTATTTCACAAACTGGTTTATTTACCGTTGAGGCGGACCACTCTCCTCCGTGCGTCCCTGAGCTGCCTGCTTCAGATCCGTAACTCTACTGTGCTGTGACGTAGTTAGTGGATGAAGATTGTTATAAGGTCGCTGCGCCATCTACAGGATAAGTCAAATGGCGGGACATTTTCGGAGTGAAACAGAATCTTTTTCTCCGCATTTTATTTCTGAAAATATCAGCGAAAATCGGCGAGTTTTGGCCGATTACCGATTAGTCTCAAACGGGCTAAAATTTGCCGATTTAATCGTCTCGCCGATAAATCGGTCGGGCCCTAGTGTATGTTAACAGACTGACAGAATTTATATGAAAACACATTAAGAATATGCTGAACACCTCATACTATTCTTTAAAAACAACAGTGTGTCATATAATCAAATCATCTGACCTTCAGAGCCCTAAGCTATTAACATCCATCACTGCAGATGGGCTGGCTTATAAAAGAGAGGGAGATAGTGTTTAAGTATGCAAAACAGAATCAGACAGAAAGAATCAGAGGGTATTTTCACAAACTAACGTCACTGTTTTACTAAGTAATCAGCCGACGACTTAATGTCTGGTTATCTATCTCCAACATCTGGCCAATAACTGAGACTAGACAGCTGTGATCTATTTGAAGAAGTATTAGAAGAAATGTAAGAAGCTAAATCCTGATATACTTGCATACCTAGTTGGTAAAGCTGAACCTGAGGGCAGTATGTTACCCTTTAAATGCCTTATTATTTGTTGATGTAGAATCATTTAACTAAAACTTTGTACCTGCTACTGTCACCTGATTGGGTTCATTCTCAAAGAAGATAATAATGACTCGACCTTGTCATTATTATTCCCTTCTGTCTTCTGTCAGCTAAGGTATCAAACACTAGTCTACTACTTCCCACCCTGTTATGTAGTCTGATGCTTGCTGCACCGGCTCTGTGGCCCAGGACCTGTCTTGTCAGTCACTCTCTCTATCTCACTGAGTGCCTCTCGTTGACCTTCCTCTCAGCGCTCACAGGCCTAGCCCTAAATATTGAATGAGTAGCCTAGAAAGAGCTGTACGAGCGTGTGAGCCGCGTAACTCACCTGGGACATTGACCAAAGGTAATAAGAGGGCTGACTGAGGTTAGCAGGGATAGTGCTTGCGCTGGGACATGTCACAAAGCTGCTATTAAACCGCTTCCACACAACAATGTCTCGCCTTATGTGTACGCCAGAAGAGAAAAGTGTGTGTCAGGCTCCAGGGTGTGTCAATCATTAATGAAAAGCGTCCCACTGTCTCAGGTTTCCTTCAGGAGAGGAGTGGGATAGGAGGGCATAGGGGGAAGGAGCTCAGGGGTTAAAGATAACAGGATTAGGAGATCAGTGTGTGTACATTATACTGTAACGCAGCACTCACGTTTTCTCCTTCTGTCCGTAGTTGCAGACAGAAGACAACGTCATCAAGCGATGGAACCTTTGAACGCGGCTTTCCTCCTCTGAAGACCTGCGAAAAGTGCACCAACAAAACATGAAGTTTAAAAGGAACACCAATGGTTACCGGTTTAAACTCTGCCTCAGTCTGCTTCAACTCCTGTAGGCTTGAATGTCAACATAATGAAAATAGTCTAACTCTTTGCCCTTCCTTCATTCATTTTTCTTCATTATGAATCTCCAAGACCCTTCAAGACTGGTCTCTCTGTTGGACTTCAGACACACTCCCCAGTGCTTTGGATTACAAACTAAGACGGAGAATCCGGCCCAGGGATAAGTTTGGGTTCTTCCTCTTTTTCCTTGGTGGAGTGTTGTTGATATGGATGGGAGGACTGATAGGTGGTTGCAACCCTCAGCTTGGATAAAGATGTTTTGGATTTATCTCTCTGCCGTTTTTTCCTGGAATCAAGACAGTTCTCTTCTTGGAGATGGGAAACAGACATTATAATTAGTTTGCTTGCAGCTCTTTTCTTAAATCATGTAGATATCCGTCATCTGATTGTACAACGTAATTTTTTTCATGATGCTTTCTGAATGAAAAGATATTTTTACTGATAAACGGCGGTGTTATTTCTGCTCGCACAGGCCCTAACGTAGGCCTGTTTGGCCTTACAGAAGGGCCTCTTGAAGAGGGACCAGGACAGCGTAAGAGAAACCTGGAAACCTTTTATTGAAACTTCATAAAGAAATAACCAGGATTTGAAAAGCAAATCTACAGTGACAGTTCCTACTGTGGTGGTGGAATGGCTGCAGAACACGGAGAGCTGTTGGCTGAGATGGCCACCATTGGGCGCCTGAGTGCCACCGAGCGCCTGAAGCACGCCCAGAAGCGTCGTGCCCAGCAGCTGAAGGCATGGGCGCAGATGGAGAAGGACGCAGCACGAGGTTCGAGAGCCAAAGCTGACAAGAGGAAGAAGACGCGGACCACGAAAGTCACATTCCCAAACACCATCACTCTGCTGGATGCTGCTGCACGCTGTGACCTAGAAGAGGGTTAGTAAAAAAAACAGACACTTTGTAACACCCACAGCGAAAAAAGGCCTCACAAAGTCATCCATGCATTTGTATTCAATTAGAATTTGTCAGGAAAATGAGGCTTTTCACTTAGATATTCACCTGTCAGAGTTCAATATTGTGAAAGTATTTTGGCTCTCAGAGCCAGGGAGTACTGAGGCTCAGTCCAAGGCTCTGTACCCACTAGGTCCCTGGCATATGGATATGATTGTTTCCTTACCTTTTTATATAAGTCAGAATTTAAATTTACATTTGAACAAGTAGAAAATCTGTCTACTTTTGAACATCTCTTGTGCTGTCCCACTGTTAAATCTTCATGTGGGTGGGTTTTTGTGTGGACTTGAAAATGCCAGTTTCTAGGGCTGAGACGATATGCTGTTTCTCCCGATTCGATTATTCTACAAGTTTTTGGGTGCCGATTTGATTTCAACTGCTATTCTACAATATTGTCGATTTTCTCAATTTTTAGTCTGCATTTTTAACACCAGTTAAACAGTTGAATGATTATGATTATCCACTGACTATTCTAGGAACCATATTTCCCCAAAAATACACATCACATGTAAGTCAGTTTTTAAGATCTATTCCTAAATTTGACAAAAATATGATGTTTGAACGAAAAAATCGATTTAAAAATTGTCAAACAAAAGATTGCGATACTTATGTGAATCGATTTTTTTCTCCCACCTCTAATAGTTACCCTCTTTATTTGTGTATTACTGCAGACTTCGCGGTTGCAAACTTGGTCATGTCGGGAAAAGATTGTCCAGCTTTCCAGGCTTGTTACAATTTGCTAAAATATGCAAATAATGTGATGCATGATGCATACTAAAGGAGGAATTTTTGTATGACTTAACAGTGCATGTTTTTTTCATGCAATTATATTGTGTCTCACTCCTTGTTTTTTACCATCTCAAGGCCTTCACTTAATCACTGCATGTGTAGCGGCATTTAAATCCCTTGGGGGTGGGATTCAGCCTATGACTGCGGCATTTGGCCCCTTTTTTGCTACTGACCTCCTGATACATAAGCACTTTTTTGACCGCTGGCGTGTTGCTCTATACAACACAGAATCAAAAGGAAGTTAATCATGTTTTATTCATCCAAAATACGTCACACAGTCAAGGCTGTCTATTATGAGTGGTGTTAATGTCAGCAGCAGGATCGTTGCTAATTATAGCTGCAGTTTATCACTAACTTACACCAAATGAGGGAGTGTCTTTTATCTATTCATAGACTGATAGGGTTATGATGTTTATCAGAAAAAGGACTCTGCTCAGGGTGAGTTATAATGATGTTCATGTGTGTTTTTGTGTGTGTGTGTTCTTGTTCCTTTTAGTGAGGGAGCTGCTTAACAGTGGTGTCAGCCCAGATCTGGTCAACGAAGATGGCCTCACAGCTCTACACCAGGTACTCGCTCTGACTGCCGGCTATGTTTGAAATGCCAAAACGAGCCTGTCAGACAAATTCCAGTGCGCTTAAGGTCTTAAGTATGTGATGGTTAAGCGTACTGGTACTCACTCCCACATGTTCAGCGGCTAATACAGGCACAGCTTTGCAGAAGATCGGATGAGGTTAATTCCACACTTTGATTCTAAGTCAAGCCCTTACATTGACAAGACAGGTCCCCCTTTTTGCCCAGCAGGTGTGTGTATTTCTGTGTAGTGGAATCACAGCTTACAGTTCACTGAGTACTGTTTGCCTTTATTTTGTCTGACTCTAAACTTATCTGAAGTTTACATGAGCGCGCTACATTGTTCCCACCATCTGCACCTTGAGGTGAGGATGATTTGCTAATGTTTACATTCCCTTCCTGATCAGATAGTGGATTTAAGAGAAGCCCATGAAAGACTTAAGTGTTTTATTAGTTTGATCTTAACACATACAAGTCTAAGAATATTTATACAGGTACTGTCTGAGTCCCTCCCTACAAGTAAACGCTTAAACCTGCCACTATAAATTCATGAGAGAGGTATTTGTGTACACAGAGAACTCTTTATAAAATCAGTTGACTCTGCTCTTCCCCTTGGAAAACTTTGTGTTTACACAGCAAAGGGTTGGGCCGAGCATGCAAATGTTTTCTACAACACGAGCCCGTGTGTTCGCTGCCTGAAATTGTCATGCCTACAGTCTGTTTACTCAAGTTGTCAATGCATGTTTTGTGGCCGTCTGCACCTCTTTTGGCAATCACACGGGGGTGACAAATATTCACATTTGCCCCTTTCTCCCCAGTGCTGTATTGATGACTTTGTGGACGTAGTGCAGTGCCTGCTAGATGCTGGTGCCAATGTGAATGCCTGTGATAGTGAGCTGTGGACTCCGCTGCATGCTGCTGCCACCTGTGGACACACCGGGCTGGTGCAGCTCCTAATTCAGGCGTGAGTTCAACCATTTGCACCTTCAGCCCCATTATTATACATCCTTCTTTCATGGAGAGTAATTCAAGATCCCTCAAAAAAAACAAACACAGTTATATCAAATGTTTTTGATCTGTGTTACTATTTTTTTTCAGACAAATCAGGCAAAAATTCAGGCAAACTGGATATAATTGTCTATCAAGAGCTTATGCAACAACAGTGAAAGTCTGCTTTACAAAAATGCAAATATGGCTGCAGCTTGACTTAAAACTCACTTTGCAAGCAAATGAATATTCTGAAGTGGCTGAGCTAATCATCTGTCTTTGCATATGGCACATTCATACCAGTGTTTGTGTGTGTGTTTATGCTTCTAGTGGGGCTGACCTGCTGGCTGTCAATGCAGACGGCAACATGCCCTATGACCTCTGTGAGGATGAGGCCACCCTGGAGCTGCTGGAGATGGTCATGGCCGAACAGGGTCAGTAAACCGTGTCAAATCAAACTTCATATTTAAGTTGCGTTCATTTCTTTACCTGGTATGTGCCTGAAAAGAAAAGTAGTCATTTATTTTTAATCATAATCTTTAGATGATTAAAACCAAAACAGTTTCAGAGATGGTCAAGACATTAAGCTGCCATGCACTTTTAAATACCATCTGTTTGATTAACATCTTTGTCTTTCAAGCCTTGCATCCAATATGTTAGTAAAAATTTGAAGTATTAATCAGACTTCTTTGTACAAAACCATTCTGGGTCAAATTTCTACCTACTTATTCTCGCTCTTAATCCAGAAGGTTGTTAATAAACTTGCTCAACATTGAACAACTGTTTTTTCCACAAGTCTGAAGTGAATTTGGTAAGAAAGCTTAGAGTTTTAGCACCCAGTGCACACAGTCCCAAACTTCAAAATGAACGTAACCCAAATGTTTTATGTTTATGGAACTGTATTTGGATCTCAGCCCAACAAACCTCACTCTGTGTTTTCTTATCTGATCATATTCAAATGATAAAAAAGGATAAAGTCTTATGGTTAGTGTTCTCTCTCCTTCTGGACTTCAATTTAATTTTAAGAGGTACTCTACAACAAATGTTTTGTAAAAGGAAAAAGTTTGTTTTTATAATCATACACCTTCCCGTCATTTGTCTGCCACACTTAATATCAGGTGTTACACACGAGTGACCAGACTCAGCCGAAAATAAAACTACTGACGGCTATAAGCTAAGACTGTTACTGTCTGTGTGCCAACTGGCATCATATCTTTTGTGTGTGTGTGTGTGTAGGTATAACTCAGGACCGCATAGATGAATGTCGAGGAGCTAAAGAGGCAGCCATGCTGACTGACATTCAGGCTCTTATTCAGAGCGGCGCAGACTTAAACGCTCAGGATGATAATGGAGCAACTCTGGTGAGAGAGGAAAATATCTGTTTTACATTGACAGCATTTGTTTTTCCAAAGTGTATTTACAGTTTTATATTTTATAGTGACCCAAAACTTACTTTCCACAGCTACACATCGCGTCATCTAACGGCTACATGTCAGTGGGAGAACTCTTGCTTGAGCACAGGGCTCAGGTGGAGGTGAAAGACTCTGATGGCTGGACGCCGCTACATGCTGCGGCCTGCTGGGGTCAAGTAAGTGAGAAGAAGAAGAAGAAGAAACGCAAGAACTTTCCAAGTTTCTTCAGTAACATATCACTTGTGTTATTTGCATTTGTGTAATAGATCCAAATGGTGGAGCTGTTGGTGGCTCATGGCGCCAGTTTAAATACCAAGTCTGTCCTGGAGGAGACACCTCTAGGTAAAACAAGCAGTTTTGCTCTAGTATACCTGAATAGCAGCATTCTTCACCTATATATCTGCTTCAAGAGTAAAATGAGCCAAAGTTTAAAAAGGGGCTCCTCTTTTAGAGCGCCACACACTCAGTGGTGGCTTTTATAGGCTTTTTCTTTCATACTTAAATGCTTTTTAGATGTGTGTGTGGACGAGGAAGTCAGAGCCAAACTGATGGACCTGAAGCACAAACATGATGCCATCATGAAGAGCCAGGATCGACAGAAAGGCACGCTGCAAAGACGAGCCTCCAGCGCAGGCAGCAGAGGGTGAGAGGGGATATTAGTGCGGGGTACAGAGAGCTCAGAGGGTGAAAGTTACACAACAATACAAAGTTGGAGCTGTTTAGTGCTTTACTCAGCTGTCTCTCTTGTTTGTCTTTACAGTAAGGTGGTGCGTCGTGTCAGTGTGAATGAGCGCTCCAGTCTGTACCGGCGGGAGCATCACAAAGAGGCCATGGTGTGGCAGGAGCGTGGGCGGCAGCCAGAACCACAGGATGACGATGAGGACCGACAAACGGATAATGAGCTGCACCAGCATGCCACAATGGTGACTGAGAACATTGTTGTGGGTGTTTTTAAAGAAGACCCGTCACGTTTTACTAGCTCATGTAACATTTCCAAAGAGTTGAAGCTGATCAGTGTAACATGTTGGTCTTCAGGTCGCGGGTGCTGATGCCACGTCACGTTTAGAAGAACTGGAGGCCGCAGACAGGAAAATAGTGTCCAGTCTCGGTAATGGAGGGACATCTGTTTCTCTGGCCTCATCTGTACCAGGAGAGCTGTGGATCGGTGGGGGTCTCATGGATCGCAGTGCCTCATACCAGCTTAGTCCTGCATCAGGGTCGGGAGACGGCGAAGGGGCAGACAGTATGACTCGGGAGAAATCCCACCACACCCTGGCCGACCTGAAACGCCAGCGGGCTGCTGCCAAGCTGAATAAGTACCCAGCACCTGCACCACCTTTGCCCCCCACAGTAGAAGAGCAGCCTTCGAGCACGGCCGCAGAGGCAACAACCACTCAGGCTCAGACAGCGGTCCATCTGACACCCATCCCAGTGGAGGAGGTCTCTCCGAGCCAAGTGTACTTCACCCAAGCGAGCGGAGACCCTCCACTGCTGAAACTCAGAGCACCCGAGGAGGAACAGCCGAACAATAAGGAGCCGTGCTGCGGACTTATGTAGACTTACACACCCATACCCACTTACACACTCCAACACACTGCCCGGAGAGGCGTGTTACATTTCAAAGTGGCAAAAAGCTGATTTAAAAACCAATATGCTTGAAAAGAATCATACGTTAGGTTCACATGCCAATGACTGATCAATCTAAACTACATTTCAGAGGAGTGAAGCACAATCTTTGTGTTTATTCGACCCTAAACCTGAAATCAGTAACACCTAACACTAAGGTCCTTGGACTGCTCTCTTACTGGTGGATTTATAATTCACTGGAGATCAGAGTTAAGTTAATGTTAATGGCAGGAGAACTAGAAACCCCAGTGTTCAAATCACAGATTCACCTTTTCTTGATCACTTCTCTTATTTCTTACTTCACTGCTCACCAACAAAAAACTCTGAATCATGTTTAGGTTAAAATATTCATTTAATGCTTCATGAGATTAAACCGCAGTTAAGATTTTCAGAAATAATAATGAGGTTAAATTCACTATGAATGGTACATGATCTATAATTTCATACATTTACATTATGATTTAAAGGTTTTTCATGGTTGGGAGAATTCTCGTTTGATACATGTTAGTTTCAGTTTACATTTGAGCTACTCTGAATTTACAGACACAACAGTGTGAACAAGGAGCGTATCCTTGTTTTTTTTTTTTTCCTTGAACTGAAGATATAGTGGTTTTCTTTTATTCTTCAATGCACAAAAAGTCTAAATCTCAATATTTTTAATGGTGCAATTTGTAAATTAAGTGTTTGTCTATAAAAGAATGTGAACTGATTTACATTTAAATCAGTGGATAATCACTTAGCTGATCATTATCAATCTTTAAATAATGTTTTTTTTCTGTCAGTATTTCTATTTTTCTACCCCAAATTGAATCAAATTATTTATTCTATCTAATACAGAGTAAGACTAAAAGTGTACAGCTCTTGTACCTTTTGTTAAGATAAAAGTCTGAACAAAATATTTATCGAAGAGATTATGGATTTTTTTATCAAGCTATGTAAACTCGTCATATGATTGTGTATTAAAAACTTGTGCCTTCCTTGGGTGGCAGATTTTATATCTTTCTGCGCTAAGTTATACAAGATAATTTGTCGAGGAGTGAGGCAAAATCAGACATGGACTCCATCTTCATGTGCTTTCAATGCACTTCAGTTTCAGTCATGCATTTCAGATTTGTTAGTGATTTTTACTGAGCCCTGTTTAGAAAAAGAAAACATAAAAAAGCGTTTTCAAAAAAGGAGTTTCACTTGTTTTTCTACATGCATGTGGTCTCTGAGTATGACGTCAATCTTTGTTTAATCATGGCTAAAAAGGAACAACCAATTACAGCCCTCACGTTCTGGGCTTTTCACTTACAAGACTTCAGCTGGAGACAAATGTCTCCATCTTGTGGTCAAACTCCTACTCCTCCAGTGCCTTTTTCCTCTTGCATCATGTGTCCAGTCACTAACTGGGAAGACATCTCAGTTGTCACTGCCGAGTCTGATCCACCTGCCAAGGCAGCACATGACCCACATAGTAAACACTGTAGTTATAAAACTATGACAGTACAGTAAAAGAGTATAATCGCTTGTTTTAGGCTAACAAAGCACTCCGTTTGAGTTTAAGTAACACGAGAACTTGTTTTAGGATTATTTGTTCATTAAATGCTCAACCCAAAATCCAAACAAGCACTAACATGTACACAGTTTTATACTCTTTAAAGGACATAGCATTAGTGGCCTTGCTAACAGTTGTACATAGGGTGTGTTAAAAATGGATCCTGCTTATGTTCAGACATGTTATGACTGTGAGCCAAGGCCACTTAGTGGGACTGGCCCTTTAAATCTTCAAACATTAAAGTCTCAAGAGAGCTGATTTCAAGTACTATCTGTTCCTCCATGTTCATCTGTCTTTTAAAATGAAACAGAGGTCAGATAGATCATATTATGTTGTGTTATACTGCCAAATTACGCACTGCATGACACACACAAGTCACAGGGCCATCACATGCTCATATGTGAACCGTTTTAGTTTAGGATATCAAATGTCTTTCCCCAAGCTCTGTCCAAGACATCTGTGGGGTTTCTTGGTCTCACACTCTGTTCCTCTCACACATAGGAAGCTTATCATGTTGCTCTCTCTCTCTCTCTTGTCTAAACAAAAGACAAGCAGAGGAAGATTTGGATCTCCAGCTTTTTTGAAATCCTAAACTCTCAAGTCCACCCCCCTCAGTCTCTCTCTGTTTTATTAACTTGATAGATAGCTCTCTTAGCTCTCAGTATGCATGTTTGTGATATGCATTGGTGGTATCTGGTATGACGTCCAAACCTGTGTTATGCTATGAGGAGCTGTGTGGTATATAACAGGCTGGGAAATACAGATAAGGTCCATGATAAACTGCTGATCTCTGTCTGCCGAAGACCATTTCTCAGTCTGTTTCTCCTTATCTTAACCTGAACCTGTCTTGACCCCCGTCAGTCACCTCTGCAAACCTTTAACCCGAACTACGCAGGGCAGCTGTATGCAAACACAAAGCGGAAAAGGGGAAACAGACTCTGCCACAGAGCTACATTCAGCTCTATTTTTGTCTATTACTTTAGCATTACAGTAAAATGAAAAGCTTGAGCATTTACTTCTGCAATCTGAAGGCTTTTTTCCAAAATCTCCTTGTTGTAATGCAGGGCGCATGATAGATTAAAGGATACACAGTGAGACACACTACCCTCAAGCAGTAATGCAAGGTATGTAGTTTTTGTCATTAAGTTTTCAAGAAAAGCTCCTCACCCTTTGTAATCATGTTAATTTTTTTCTTTTTTGATCTGTCTACAATGTACCTTTGAGCCAGGGTGTGTCTTGGGGACTCGGCCTCATTTTAACTCACTCCCTTGCTGTACTCCTGACTTGTAACCTCTCCTATTTCATCTGGTACCAGCCAAACGGGTGTACCTCAACCTCTGTGTGGGAAATGTGTCACAAGACCAAGCAACCCAACCAGGCAGTGACAGGTCTGTACAAACCACTCTAGCTGGTGGACACGGGCAGCTTACTTACTCTGCACTCTGCTAAGTTTGCTGTCCTCAATGGCAGGAACAGACCAGCTGAAAAGGAGAAATGCCTCCAAATAAAATAAAAAAATACTTGGCTAATTTAACTCTGGTGACGCTTAGCAACCAGACACTCGCTGACACACGTGCAACACCCATCCTCCCTTTCTGAGAGACACTGAGCTCTATTGAACATTTCGTATGTTTTCTTTATTTTAATATCAAGAGAAATCAAAGCTGCAGTGATGAACTTTGAGTTTGTGTCAACTTGGCGCCCCCTGTGGACAAAGTAATATTTAGCTTATCTTGTCGTTCCCATGCTCAAGTAATGACATCTGGCAGAAAACTCTCATCCTGCTGACTTTCAACCGTGAAATCTACTATTTCTTATGAATTTTTATGTGGAAATGTATTTCAAAAATTGAGCTGTTTGTGTAGCTGCTTGGTGACTCCTACCCTCTCGCACCATTTTGGGATGTGAAACAATAGCAGTATGGAAAGTGTCAGTTTTGTTACTTACGATCCTGTGTGGTTCTGTACGCCACAAAAAAGCATGAGTATGAATTTCAGTCAGTTTTTGAAAACAAACTCTTCACAGGAGCTTTCAGAAGTATTTTTGTATTATCTTTAAGCTAATTTAGCCATATTTTTGTAGTATAGAGATTAAAGGGATATTCTGTTGTAAAATTAATTTAGGGTCAAACACACCATAACACTAAGTTAGACAGCTCCGCGAGAGATGAATATTGCCGACCGCTTGCTTCTCTAGTTTTACCAACTTTAGTAACAGCCGCACGATAGCAATACACAACAGTCTGTTGAGTATTGCTATCGTGCGGTCGTTACTTAAGTTGGTTTAACTAGAGAAGCAAGTGGTCGGCAACATTCATCTCTCAAGGGGGTGTCTAACTCGGTGTTATCGTATGTTTGACCCTAAATGAATTTTACGCCGGAATATCCCTTTAATGTGAAACCCTAGAGTAGTGTTGTGTCATTCGCAAACGATTCTTTCAAAAGAACCAAATCGTTTATATGAACGTACGTAGCGATTAGTCTGTTTCTCACTTCAGTTGAGCTGAAGTGAGAAACAGCATTGTCAGGCCAGCAGCTGGCGAACGAGGGTGAACGAATCACAAATCGAACTACACTCTCTGGAATCATTTTTGTCAGAAAAAACTACCTTTTTTTCACTGCTAAATTGCCACCACAACAACTTGCATACAACGGTACACAGCATGTAACAAGTAGTGCATTAAACCCGCAGCATCCTATCATTGCAGCGGTTTGCGAGGGAATGGTGTATGTTCAGTGTGAATTCATCTAAAGGTTCGGTGAATGAATCACTCACTGACCCCAATTTACCAAGCAGCATGGTACATCATGACTTATAAACAAGTTAATTTTTACAAACCTGTTTGCCAAAGCAACTCAGCCAAACACTTTCATCTCCCGGTCACAGAAGCTATAAACTGAACTGAATCCTGAAACATTCAGCTGTGTATCAGTTCAGGAGGTCGCAGTCACAGGCTTCTCCCACTAAATGATTCAGTGATTTGGTGAACGAATCTTTTCAGTGAACTGATTCTAGTGATTCAGTAAATCTAAAATAACTGCCGCGCCCATCACTACCCTAGAGAATCCCTCTCTTTTTCAGTCTAATGTTGGCAGGAAGCCCATGCCACCCCTGAATCTACAAACTCAGGCTCCGCCACTGTCAATTCAGTCTCTTCACCCCCAGTGAGATTCGTTGTTTCTCTGAAAGTTTGACAAACTTTCCAAAGTAGAGCTGTGCTGTTTCTGCAGACTAGGCGGAGGGCACTTAAGGTAACGTTTAAGCGTCCGTAAGCACACTGAAGCCACAGCAGCGGCAGAGTACAGTGAAGGAATCCAGCCAACCATGGGCTGGCGCGAGCGAAGGCGTGTCGTCCGGGTGGGAATATGAAGCGCGAGAGGCTCAACTGTCAGTCAGGGGCTGGAGGAGCTGAAAGAGGGAAAGTAAACACTCACACGAGCTGAGCTAACTTCTGCAGCCGAACAACTGGTAACAGCTGATACTCTTTATCACCTCCTGAACAGGCTCGCATGTGAATTTCTGTTCATTCACGATGTTTCTCAATGTACTTCTATGTTTCAGATTATCAGACCGCGCGGCGACAACGGCAGGAAAAACAGCGTGCGCGTGACATAACACAAAAAAAGAGAAAATGTCCCAGCAGGCAGTGAACGGGGTCCCGCACCGGGGCAAGGTGCTCACTCTGGATAACATGAACCCCAATGTGAAGCGGGTCGAGTACGCGGTGCGAGGTCCGATAGTGCAGCGGGCGGTTCAGATAGAGAAGGAGCTGAAAGAGGTAAAGTGTTTGGGGGCTGCAGGAGGCGCGCTCCTCACACACTCACTCACTCACTCACTCACAGAAGTTTGATAATGTATGCAGGGGGGTGGTTATAGTACTGTGGTGCCAAAAAACAAGTAAAAAGTGTTCAAGATGGTGATATATGCATGGTTTCACTAACAATAGAGCATGTGTGGTGGTCCATGGGGTATAGTTGTGAGGTATGTGGAGCACAGGCTTGTTGTGAGGATAAAGTAATGCTCTTCACAGCTGTGTAACCTCTTCAACAGCTGGAATTTGACCTCAAAAAGCAGCAAAACATCAGTAATTTCTGCTTTAAGCTGACAGCTGTATACTTTGTGGCCAAACATCACAGCAGAAAAAAAGTATTTTGATCTCATTCAACAACTTTTTTTCCCCTTAAACCAAAAGAAACATCATTTCCCTCTTAGTTCCACTGAGAAATTCTTGACTAGAAGGAGAAGTGGGTTGTCTACATGGACATGACTGCTGCTTTGAACACGTTTTGCTGACTGACTGACTGACTGACCGAGAGTGAGAGAGTTCAGGGAGTAGACAGTAGGTCAGCTTTTAAAGTCCCTGCATGACAGCAGTGGTGGGCCTGTTATGTCCTGCGTGTCTCCACTCATGTTACCCACTCTGCTTTCGTAATATCGATCCTCCTTGGTTTCTTAAGAAAGGGCAAGCAGGTTTAGCAGGCGTCTGTAATGAAACCCCGGCGTCTGCAGCTATGTCCTCCTCCCAGGTTTTGTAATGAGCGGGAGGGGACTGCTCTATCCTTGTTTGAGTGCATTTCACTCGCATTGCTCTGGCCTAAGGTGACTGCAGAATCGAGAGGAGGATGTGTATATGGAGAAGTGTTATTATGTAAGATGAGAGGGTACATTCTCTGCCCCTTTTGTGTCTCTGGGTTTATCCACCTCCCTCCTCCTCATAGGGTTGAGAGTCCATTGGACGAGGCTGCAGCTGTGAGGCCCGGTGGCGTCAGTGGCCTTTCTCTGCAAGGAGCTTCATTGCTGGCAGTCCTAATTCTGCTAAAAGTGTTTCAATACTTGGTAGTTCCCTTGTTTTTGTTCCCCATGTGGAATACAAGATGAGAATTTGCATCATTGACTTACACAGGATGATGTTAAGAGGGCAAATCCAAGGTCTGACGAGGGAGTGAACAAACATGATGCTACTAAAAGTGTGTGTGTTTAGTCGACATTGGTTGCTTTCTGAGTTTCCTGAGCAAACCACAGCCCTCTTTTCAGGTTTAGATCAACCTGTCAAACAGAACTGCCTGTGGTAATGCAAATGCAAAATAACACAGTTGTAAATGTGACCTCTCTGAGTCCTCTCAGGGGTTCACTTTGCTGCAGTTGCCCAGTCATCTGCAGGTCTGCTTCCTGTCAAATCTGTGACTGGAACACTTTTACTGATGGCTCAGCAGATTTTATGCAAGTGTGTGTTTGTGGAGCCATGCGCTGGTGTGGCGTTGACCCTTATAAATCCTTACACAGACATCTGGTATGACATTGTCTGCACTGCAGTGAGCTAATTCAGGCTTGGATTTCAGCTGCTGGGAACGCTGCTTTTCTGTGACAATGGAGAGGTGACGCACAGAGGTTTAACTTTAGAGTTATGGGCTCGTTTTTTCTACCAGTTAGTTATTGTAGTCCATGTGTTTTGATTCTTTAACAGGTATTCAGAGGGTTTCTCTGTCATCCTGTTGAGTTAGGCTGATCACATGGGAAAAACAGCAGAGGTTATTCATTAGTTTGCATCGGCCAGAACTTAATTAAGTAAAGTTATAATTAGTCTAGTGTGACTGTGCGCAGATTGAGGGAAGGCAGTCTCATAATTTAAAACAAAATTGCAAAGAAGCGCTGTCTAGACTCAACAGAGTTAGTTGTATATTATTTTGCAATATAGAGACTCATCGAATTACCAGAAAACTCTGATGCACTTTGCCCACTGGTTAAATCTGGAAGTGAAAATGTGTGTGGGGGGTGTGTGTTTAAAGTCCAAGATCGAGATTTTATTATTACATTTTTTCTTAAATAAAAACTGACTTAGATTTCACCCGGGTTGTCAGGTCAGTTTCTAATCATCCCTCTAGGGTTTCCGTGCCTGGTTCACTGGTCCAGCCTGTGTAATCAGTGCCTGGTGCTGAGTGAGCAGGAGAACACAGCGCTGATCCGTTGGGAACCGAGCAGCTCCTCTCTCCCTCTCTACCCTTGGAGAACAGCAGCGTCTTTGTTGCTCAGGGGCGAAGACTAAAAAGGGATCGCACTGCATCCAGTTACATGGAGTTCAAACAAGCTTATATCTGATTTAATACCAAAACCAAAAAAACCCTGTAGGACCTGCTTACTGCTTACGAGAAAAATGATAATATTGGCTCAGTAGAAAAGAGTAATCTCATTTTTACCCCTGAGGGCCTTTTGCTTAGTATTTTATTTTGTAAAACATGTCCAATCATGACAAGAATCACCAAAACAGTGTGGGTTGTTTTGACCATATATGCTGTCAGTATCACAAACATAGTGTATTTATTTTCATAATTATTTTGACTGAATACATGACACGATTTCAGTGTAGGGAGGTTAGCTTTGTTAACAGAGTCATCAGTTTAATGACCACAGTTCATGTTCAGACTCACATTCATGCAGACACACCACAAACAGTTTACATCTACCTGTAGATGAAAGAAGTTCCTTTTTTTTAATATTTCTATTTTAGCCAAGCAGCAAATTCAAACTTTTTGTTCAGACATTACATTGCAGGAAAAACAGTTGGTTCATAGTTGTGTTGCAGATCAATTTACTGTTTTTTTGTCTGATTCAGTTTGTGAAATAGGCAACTTTTAAGCTTAAAATCACAATGAGCACGAACAAAATTTATGTATTAACCAAAGAATCAAAAGACAGAATCCTTCTATTCCTGACATCTTACTTTCACCTGCTGTATCATGATGTCATCTCATCTGATGAACAGCAACAGGTGCAACATATTTGGTCCCACAAACAGACTAACGAGCACCAAACCAGAGGCCCAATTAGATCAGAGCAACAAAGATGAAGGCTTTCTGATTGGATGAAGATGAAAGGTGAGCAAATGATTTAGACTAGAGCAGAAACAAGAAAGACTCTGCTCGTCATGCGATTGGATTACGCCAGCGACTCCTCTCCAACAGCCAGAAACAGAGGGGGGTTTGTGTGTCTGTGCGGCCCGGCAGCAGTAGCAGCAGCAGCGTCATCCCTGTTCAAACTGGCCAGAGCTTCCTGCGAGCCAAAACAGACTCCATGCCAGCCAGGGTCTTTGTGAAACAAAAGGCTGCTAATGAGGGGGGATGCGTGTGTGAGATGAATGCTAGTGTCTTTGCTTTGACTCACATGCTGAGCCATCAGGTGGCAACAACAGCACAGATGAACAGTAGATGGGATTCAGGTGTTGATTCTTGTTTCTGTGGAGTTTGTTGAAGAGTTAAAGGAAAACTTTGATATTTTTGAGTGTGGAATAGGGCTGCACAGTAAATTGCAATTTTTATTTATTGATTTATTTTTATAAATATATCCCAATATGAGAATTTGCAATAAATGTCACAAAAATTGGGGCATATCTCACCCAACTGTTAGATTTAACCTGCCAGGAGGCTAAAATATAATGGACTTGTTGTAGATCTTTGTGTACAGTTAATAGGATCATTTCTTGTCCACAAGCTGCTGACTCAAACAGCTGATATGACGTCATGTACCTCAAGTGTAGGATTACACTACTGCTTAGTGGAGGAAAAAAATGCAGAAATGCCATTGCAATTATCTCATTATATAATCATCATTTTAATTTTTTTCTACAACCCCCATCCACAGCCATCAAAAGCTAGGTGTGTCTCATCCATCCTTCTTCTTTCCGTAATATTCAAATGATTCCCTGGAAGGTTAATCTGAGGCGTGTCCATATATCTCCTCCACACCATGTGTCCATACATGTTCTGTTTACAGCAGAGCTGTCTGAACATGTAAGAAATGTTGCTCAGAAATGTATGTCCTAGATTTTTTTTCATTCATCCTCATGTCCTTATGTCCCCAGGGTGCCAAGAAACCCTTTACAGAAGTCATCAGAGCAAACATTGGTGACGCCCACGCCATGGGCCAGAAACCAATCACATTTCTCAGACAGGTAGGACCACTTTTTGCATATTTGTTTCAGGATATTTGACTATAATCCCCTGTGTGCACTCATGTTTCATGCATTTTCAGTTCTGGTTGTTTCCTCTTTAAGGTCTTGGCTTTGTGTGCTTACCCTGAACTCTTGGAAGACAACAAGTTTCCAGAAGACGCCAAGCAAAGAGCGCGGCGAATTCTTGAGGCCTGTGGCGGCCACAGCATAGGTCAGACAACTCCCCTTTTCTCCGCCAACCACAGTCGCATCCCATCTTTCCAAAACACACATGTCAGGGCTACCCGCCTCCATTTGACTACTCATTAATAATTGATCAGGACAGTTAGAGCACTATCTAAACGGAACAACAACTAATCAATGCAGCACACTCTGTTTGAATCAAAGTTCATGTTTCGTGTGTTAAAGGGGCGTACAGCGCGAGCCAGGGCATCGAGTGTGTGCGTCAGGATGTGGCGCGCTACATTGAGAAGAGAGATGGCGGGATCCCCTCCAATCCAGACAACATCTACCTCTCCACCGGGGCCAGTGATGCTATTGTGGTACGATTTACACTTTTATTGTCTCCACATAAGTGCAGACAAAGTGAAGAGCGGGCATCCTCAAATTTTATGAGTTTGTGGTTTCCATAAATCTGTCGCACATGACCTACTTTCCGGATATTCAGCCTGTGAATCTCGTCTCTGTTCATGTTAATTATACACTTTGCTGTACTTTGTACATCTGTAACTTGATTCCACCCAGAGACCTTTGTCACTTTTTCACTGCCAGAACAACTTTCTCTTGTTTTATGTAACCTAATAAGGCGAATGAATGACCTCCAGATACTCTCAGCTACTGCCCTACGTGATACCTGCTGTAAAACCCTGACATGTTTGGCCCATTAAAGTTATTTGCTCAGCTGATATGAAATTAATCTGTCATGCGCTCTGTGGGCGCTTTTCATATTTATACTTCACAGCTAGTTTTCTTTACTTTAGCTAATTAGATTGGTCGTACATTACCTCAATATTTTGCATTGATAGTTTATTTTCCAGACTCAAAACCCACCTGTTCAGATTAGAACACTCCTTACAATGTATCTTGACATGTTTTTGTTTGTTTTATTAATACATACATGTATATATACTTTATTTGTTTGTTTGTTTGTTTGTTTGTTTTGTTTTCTCTATTGCTTTTATCCTGCTGTTTTTACCCTGTAGATTGTCAAGAAAGACGCTTATAAATAAAATGTATTATTATTATTATTTCAACGATACAGATATGCAATAAATGATCAGTTAAATTTGTTTTACAAAAGTCAAAAATGCTGTGTTTTCAGCTGGAAAAACCCCTTACAGTGTTTTTAAACATTGAAAATAACTAGAGAGATTATTTGTTGTGTTGCTTGAAGGTCATAAAAGAAGCATCAATATCAATCTGTTTCTCTCTGTCTTATCCCAGACCATGCTAAAGTTGCTGGTACGCGGCGAGGGACGTGACCGTACAGGAGTGATGATCTCCATCCCTCAGTACCCTCTGTACTCAGCGGCCGTGGCAGACCTGGGTGCGGTGCAGGTCAGTTATTACCTGGATGAGGACAAGTGCTGGGGTTTGGATGTTGCAGAGCTCAGGAGATCTCTCCATGAAGCCAGGCAGCACTGCAACCCCCGTGTCCTCTGCATCATCAACCCTGGGAACCCCACAGGTATGTCTGCTGGAAGGACTGTATGCAGCGTTTCTTTTTTTTTTGTCAGCGAATTTCTGCACACCTAACTTACATTTTAATGTGTGGCAGGTCAGGTCCAGAGCAGACAGTGCATAGAGGATGTGATCAGATTTGCTAAAGAGGAGCATCTCTTCCTCATGGCTGATGAGGTAATATGCCCATGCCTTGTTTTTTTTCTTAGCACTTTTTAACACTCCTTTTGGTTACGCCCTCATATTTTGATCCTGTTCCAGGGCTTGGCACTTACTTTTTTCACAAGGAGCACATGTGCTCCTAAGTTGAAAAAGTAAGGAGAACACAAAGAACAATGAAAATTGATCAAATAATGTGTGTCTTATTGGCCGACATAAGTACTATTATTTGAAATCAGTTTGAGGTGTTTTGGTCACATGTCGTGGAAGCTAGTGTAGAAAATTGTTCAAAATTTGTCTTTAAATTGAACACAAAAAATTTTTAGAGGACAAATTAAGGAAATAAAGAGGTGTGTCTTATTGTCCGACCTTTGTACTATTGTTTGAAGTCAATATTAGATCAATTGGCCACATGACATGGAAGCTATTGAAGGAAAACAGCCTTTTTTGAGAACATCAACCAGTAATTTATTGATGGTCCCTTATTCAATACCCAGCGTTGACAGCAAGTGTACCGAGTAGATTTATCCACGCTGCTGTTGTTATTCCTGGTTATGGAGAGTAAGAAGACACCGGTAGATCCACGGTGAATGTCAGTCGGATATCCAACCTAAAACTAACTTCACAGCAGTATTTACATGAAAAAGCATTTGTTGCCTTGGCTGATTTTTTTTTTTACGAGCATGTCCCCCTAAATACATTTTACAATTCGCACACATCTATTTTTAGTCGCAAATGCCAGTGAAACGGTCGCACTGTCGAGCCCTGTGTACTGTTGTCTATCCTGGCATTGCTTCATCCGTCGAAACCTCACATGAACTCTCGCTTCTAAATGTGCAAACACATAAAAGTTGTTGTTCTCGTTTTCACTCGTTAAGAACTTTTTATTGTAACGCTGGTCCCATGAGTCACTTTCTTTTACTACTCAAGACTGTAATTAGCTTCAGTTGTTACGCAACCAGAGTGAGAATGGCTGTACCTATTATAGAGTTGTTGCACATTTGATTTTGCACAGACTGGTTTTGTTCTGTTTTTAATCCGCTTTCTTTTTCTAGGTGTACCAGGATAACATATATGCAGAAGGCTGTCAGTTTCACTCCTTTAAGAAAGTGTTGTTTGAGATGGGACCAGAGTACTCAAGCGCAGTGGAGATGGCCTCCTTTCACTCTACCTCCAAGTGCTACATGGGAGAGTGAGTAACTACACACACACTTATATATCTAAATGGCCCTTGGAGGTGTTGTAAGTTCTTGGGATGTAGTGTAAACCTCCTGGAGTAAAGGTGAGTCCTTGTGTTTGACTCCCTCCTCTCCTCTGTTTGCTCTGCTAGGTGTGGATTCCGTGGAGGATACATGGAGGTGATTAACATGGACCCTCAGGTGAAGGCCCAGCTCACCAAACTGGTGTCAGTGCGCCTGTGCCCTCCAGTGCCTGGACAGGCTCTTCTGGACCTGGTGGTGAACCCGCCCCAGCAAGATGAGCCCTCCTACGCCACGTTTATGAAGGTCTGATGAAACGCATACAAACTGGCACACATCCTGGTAGTGTTTTAGTGTGTGCAAACACTGAATTTACTTATGTAAACTCTAGCTGTATAATCTGTGTACAGAAAGCCTGTACTGAGTTTGCCGAAGTCTTCATGCGAGTACTTTGAAAGGAGGAGCTCTGAATCCTGTTCTATGACTATGCAGTCATGTCTCTCCAAAAATAGACCAAACATCAGTAAATGAAATAATGCACCCGCTAACTTTGCATACCATTGATGTTTTGTAGATCTCTATCGGTTAGATTACTGTTCAGCGGAGACATTGTGCCTTAAGCAATCAATGAAAGGCGTCAAAAGATTATCCCCTTTTCAAAAGCAGGAACAGCATCCAGACCTGTGTAACTGGCTGGACAAGATTTAGAAAAATGTTCTCACCCAGTGACCCAAAAGAAAGAAATCTTGTCCTAAACCCTCAAGCAAAAAGAGAAACTTCTGTTTGAAACGAGGTCAAAGTAAAGATTTGAATGTAATGCAGTCTTAATGACAGATAAGAAAAGATCTTTCCAACCCTCTTCCTACACACTCCTGCTTAATTTATGCATTTGCATGGAGAGTCAACCACCTTTTGAGTGCCGTCCAAACCTTCCAAGTGTGGAGTGGGAGTGGGTTGTTGGACCTTTCAACAGCAGTCCTGCACCACTACGGGCCAACTTACCAGATTTAATACGGTTACTTAGTCATGGTAGATGCTGCATATCAGAATCAGAAATACTTAAATAATCCCTAAGGGGGAAATAGCTATATGTTACAGTAACTCCAGTGCAAATAAAGTAGAAGAGGAGATACATAATAGATAAAATGAGTAAAAATAAAGAGATAATGTACAAGTATGTACACTATGTACAACACAAAATAGTAAAACAGTGAGCAGAGTCCAGGTAAAGACGACTGACTGAGGGTGTCAGAGTCACTGAGGGAGGAGTTAAAAAGTCTGATGACCTGCTGAAGATGCTCCTCTGCAGGACCAGTATGTTGTATCCACAAAGAATAAGACATGACTATCAAGATCAAATGTTACCACATACTCAAAGCCTGACTTCAGAGGGAGCACTTCATAGTGGAGTGTAACTGAGAAGCAACTGGTGTGAGAAAGAGCCATGTACTGGCTCAGTATGGTGTGTGGTCTGCTGGGTGTTGCAATGCTTCAATTGGCCACAAGGGGGCTAAATGACCACTTAATACAGAATATGATGTTTTTAACCATGGAGCTGGCCACTTGAAATGCCACTTATACTTCAGTTATAAAACATTTTATCTATTTAATACTGATATGAACACATTGTTGACTGTCAACTGCAGCCTTGTGATCCACCTGGGAAAGTCTGGATTTCACAAGATAATTTGAGCATTAGAAAACATCACTATTATTCTCACTTTATTTGTATTTTTATGTATTCTTCTGGACTTCCGTTCTTGTGACCTTTCACCCCTGACAGCTCCACTCTTCTCTCCCATCAGGAGCGGACGGCAGTGTTAGCAGATTTAGCGGAGAAGGCCAGGCTGACGGAGCAGATCTTCAACACGGTACCAGGTATCACCTGTAACCCAGTGCAGGGGGCTATGTACACCTTCCCCCGCATCACTCTACCTCAGAAGGCCATCGATAAGGCAAAGGTCTGCATCACACTTTTACATTTAACTGCTTAACATAACCCTGAATTACTGTTCCTGTGTGATTTAAGTGTATGTGTGCATAAATCCACAGGAGGAAGGAACGGTCCCTGACATGTTTTACTGTATGAAACTGCTGGAAGAGGAGGGAATCTGTTTGGTACCAGGAAGTGGCTTTGGCCAGAGAGAGGGAACTTTCCACTTCAGGTTAGTGCATCTAAGGCTGTAACAGTTACAGATTTTCCAATTATAGAGTTGGTGTATTTAAAGCATTAACTTCTAAGTTATCACCTGATTTGATTGATTCTGTTGCTTTGTCCAGAATGACCATCTTGCCTCCGACCGAGAAACTGAAAGTCGTCCTGCAGAAAATCAGCGACTTCCACCAGCGGTTCACTAAAGAGTTTTCATAGAAATGAAGCGTCCCATCTCAAGAATCATCTCAGACAGTGCCAGTATCTTCAAGTGCCTCTAAGAGACGGATGTAACAGTCCATGCAGTAAACCTCTCTTCTTCAGACTGTATTCACACTAGATTTTGACATCAGTGAAGAACATTCACAGCTTCAAACAGCTAGTCAGATTTCTTACTTGTGTACATACAGGGTGTAAAGATAGGATGAATTTTAGTACATGATGCACTTTCCCAAAGTATTACCAGGCCAGGTCTGCAATGTCAATGTAGTAGATGTAGAAATGTTATAATCATAGATGCTGCTACATAGGCATCTCTCTCCTGCCAAGACTAGATGTGATTACTGGATTAACCTGACCGGCTGTAACGCCACGTGCATTACTGTTCAAAACTCTCACATGATTAAAATACTTGAATTTCTAACTCACTTGCTTTCTGCAGTGTCTGATGTTGCACTCGTGACATGACCGGTTTGTCGAATAGTAACAAAGACTCGTGTTTAAGTGCTGGCACACAAAGCTGCCATCATTTTCCGTTTTATTTAAAAAGACTTGAATCTTTAACAGTGCTTACATGCTTTTAGAAACAGAAGAAAGCTGAATCTCTTGGAATGAACAGAAACTAAAACGATGATTCGACGTTGTAATCATCACAGTAACTCCTTTTACGCCCCTTTCTTCCCTTCACCTTCCCAGAGTCCTCCTCTGAGACACCGCCCAAGCACTTTAAGAGTTCTTAGCTACTCATGGAGAGCGATTTTCTCAAAGCTCATCTCTCTTCTGTGACAGCTTTGTGGCGTGCTTTTCAATAAACTTGCTGAGGCCCCCCAGTGTTCTGTCTCCACCCTCCAGCTTGACCGGACTCTGCTTACTATTGCTGGGGGCGAAGTATATTGTGGGGAAACCTTCTACTTTGTAGCTGTCGTTTGGCACATCGTTGGCTGTGGCGTCCATCTTGGCAATGACCAGGTTCTTTTCCCCCTTATACTTTTTGCCCAGGGCCAAATAATCAGGCTCCATTTTTTTACAGTGGCCGCACCAAGGTGCGTAAAACTCAATCAGGACATCCTTCTGGGTATCCATGACGATGTCTTCAAAAGTTTTTCCCACAACAACCTTCACTGGTCCTTTGTTGTTCTTTGGCACAGGCTGGGACTTGATGATGGCCTTCAGCTTCCCTGTGGAGAGACAAGAAAATATCAGAATGAGATTTTTCTAGCGTTAGCCCAAAATGTAAATAATACCATCATTTTCTAAGATTATTTCTGACAAACCAGAAGTAGCCCATTTATTTTAGCGTACAGGAAATAAAAGTGACCCTTTCGTCAAAGATTATGAAGAAAGCAGTGAAATATGAATCCAGACGTACCTTTCTTAAAAGCCATAACAAAGTCTCTCAGCACTTCAGAGTCAAACTCCTCGGGCTCCATTGCGTACTTCTTGCCTCCCTCTCCCTGAATTCCTACATTCACCTCCTCCCCGCTCTCACTGAGGCCTAAACCCTTCAGCTCTTCTGCGTAGTCCTCCTCATCAGCGATGGCAAACGTGTACTCTGGGAAGTCCTTGGCTACTTCCAGTACCTTGGACCTCCAGAACTGTGTGGCTGGAAACACAAGGCAAACAAAAAGAGTGATGTTCACTGCACCTGCTCATAATGACAGGGTTGCTGGTGGCTAAATGTAAAGTAAAAAAATTCCACGAATGGCAGTCGGCTGAAAAAGAAGCATGCACACAGCAATGGAAAAAATGTGTCTCTGCTCTACAACACAAAACAGTAAAGTGTTAAGATTCCAGGTCACATTTAATGTAGATATGAGAGACTCACCTTTCCTGTAGTCGAAGCTAAAGTCGACTCCATAATAAACAACCACCAGGGGTCTTTTTGAGTAGCGCTTGGCGTCATTGCTTGGTTTTCTGTGGCCCACAAGAGGTATCACGTGCTTTTTGAAGAACTCCTGCACCTCTGATACAGATGTGGAGTCCTGTGTGATACATCGATGTAACGTCAGTTTATTCTTTTAAAATGCAGCACGCAAAACAAGAGCTTTCACGTTTCAGGAGCTGATAGACTTAATATGATCTACAAAAATCACAACAAGTAAAAACCCCTGGCTTAGATGATAAAGCAGACGGTACCTTTACTGTGAGTGTGTGTTGGGCTGGCTCATACTTGGAGCGGAACCTTTCTGGGTGAACGACGACAACCTGTCCAGGTGAGGCTTTGAGCAGTTTCATCACATCAGCGCTGAATGTGTGACGGAAAGTGAAGTCTTCCCTCAAGGCATTACCTGTCACACACAGAGAGAGTCGTGTCTGTATACATTTGAAACTTAAAGCGCTTTGAAGAGAGTTTTGCCCGCATTATATAAAGATGTAAGAAAAGTGTCTCAGCAGCTCATGGTACTCACAGGCCTCAATGTAGGTCTCAAAGGCTGCATCCTGTTCACCAGAAAACACACCGACAATCACAGCATCATCCCCATCCTTGATTAGCTCCTGCACCTGCTTCGGTGCCTGGACCTGCTTGGAAGGAGGTCCAGACTGTTCGGTCATGTGGTCAACAATCCCTAGAGGAAGACGAGAAAGAAAGAGGGATCAACAATGATGAATGAAAACAGCAAAAACAAACCTTAAGAGGTTTATGTCCAGAGAAGGTCGACCTACCGTACTTCTCCCTCGGTCCGTTGTAATCGAACATCTTTCCTTTCCTGAAGATCTTCAGTGTAGGATAACCTGAGACGTCAAAGCGTGAGGCGATCTCACTCTCTACAGTGGCGTCCACCTTGGCTAGAGGGATGGGGGGAGAGCGCTGGCTGAGCTCCTGAGCTGCCTTCTCGTACTCCGGAGCCAAACGCTTACAGTGTCCGCACCTTAGCATCACAGGAGTCAAATGATGAATAACATCTTAAAGAACAGATGTCTTTTAGCAAGATATGAATCAACTTTACTGACCATGGAGCGTAGAACTCCACCAGGATGATGTCCGCGTTGTTGACCGTCTCATCAAAATTGTCTTTGGTCAGCACCAGCGTCGCCTCAGGAGGGGGCTTCCAATCAGGCTGAGCCACCTCTTTGACTTTGGCCACAATAGCTACAACAGGAAGTCAAAAAATCACTGAATGACACGAATTTCAAAACAAGACTTTCAGAATCAGAATTAGAAATACTTAAATAATCCCTAGGGGGAAATTGCTTTCAAGTTCTTTTTAACCCTAGAACACTATCGCCAGGTGATTTTTTTATTATGTTGTGTTTGTCTGAGTATCACGAGTCCCTGGGTAGCTTCAGCATAGCCTTTGACATCTTTGAAGGCATATTTGTTTCCCTGATCCAAAACCTGCTTTTTCCTACAGGCAAGTGTTCAGGTGGTTTTTACCTGGCAATAGTGATAGAGGGTAAAGTAGGTTTGGGTGGATTTGATAGCTGCATGTCGGCGAATAAGGTCACTAAGAGTGGTCCTGGAATTTGCATGCTATCTTTATTAGGATCAGTGGTTATGAATAACTATCACAAAGTAGTGGTTTTCAAGGGAATTCAAGGACCCTGAGTCTTCACCAGGGATGACTCACATGCACCAGGAATGGGTGGAAAAGAAACTTAGTCTACAGTTTCTATAATTTTTTGTTTTTAGGAATTTTTTGTTTTATGGACACCTAATTTTAATTATTTTGTTGCATTTTTATATGGTCCCCTCATGGCACTTTTTTCCCTCCCTTTGGACATTGCAGAGTTATAAATAAAAGAAAACTGGTGGTAGTGATATAGTGATAGTGTTACCAATTTTAGCAATAGTGTTCTAGGGTTCGGATGAGTTTAGTGTTCTTACCTTTCTCTGTTCTCTCTCCATCGTAGTCTATGGGCTCCCCTTTTTTCAGGATCTTGATGGTCGGATAGCCCGACACCTCAAACCTGGTCGCCAGCTCGTTCGCTTCTGTTGCATCAACTTTGGCCACAGGTACGGGGGGATCGTTCTCCTTCAGAGCCTGGGCGATTTTTTCATATTCTGGGACAAACTGTTTACAGTGGCCGCACCTGAAAAAGACAAAAAGAAGAACAGTATAAGAAAACCTGAGTACATACATGTATCGCTTTTGTCAAGCTCAGGAATAAGTGACATACCATGGGGCGTAAAACTCAATCAGGACTGTGTCTTTGCCCTCCATGAAGGTGTCAAAGTTGTTGTCTTTGAGAACCAACACCCCGTTCTCTTCCTTCACTTCTGTGTCATCATCATCATCACCCTCCTCCTCCTCTTCATCATCACTGTCCTCTTCATCTGTCTCCACCTTCTCATCTGCAACTTCTGACAACAGACAAGGAAAGAAAGGTCGGTCACAGCCCACACAGAGACATTTACATCTATTTACAGCTCGTTCCACTGTCAGTGCAAAGTATAGATATATTATACAGCAAAGTCAAAGCGTAAAATGGCTGGATTATAATTTCACAGATGGTTATTGTGAGTGTTAAGAAAGCAAAGTAGCTTTAGATGCATGACTTGAGACTTATGTTGACATTTGCAAACCAGCTAGCTCGCTAACTAGCACACCTTAGTGGAAACTTGTCCAGCTAGTTTGCATCATACCAACTTGAACAGCACATTTAGTTACAATAAACCCAAAAAGGTTTTTAAAAAAGTTAACTCACCATCTTCACATCTGCTGACAGTTGCAAAATATGCAACGCCGAGCAGCACGAGCAGCAGCAGAGCAACCTTCCTCATTGTCCACAGATGACGCGGCCCGGTGTCCACGACGTGCTTTTCCCAGCAGTAGCCGGTTAATTAATGTTGCAAATAACTCTGATGAATGTCATCAAAGTCCTGTCGGCCGTGCAGACCTGCAGTCACGATCAATACTGACGTGTGGCTTGTACTCGCCTCTAGCTCGTAGTTTCATCCAAACTATTCCCCCTCTGAAAACACGCACGCCGCCTCTTCCGTCTGGAACTTGTCTGAGTTGCCACGTTCTGATTGGTTCTCATCATCCGCCGTCCTCCAATCACAGCTCGCCACTCAACTCAACGTTGTGGGTTGCCATTGGATGCTTCTCTGTATTGTTTCTCTCTGTCGTGTATGTGCCAGTAAGCAATATATGCAAAATAACTTTAGTGATTGATTACACAATCATTTTATTCCTCGTATCTTTAATTCATACGGATGTGTATTCATCAAAGTCAAAGCACCACACTGTTTAATATTAAGACAGCAAATATCTATCTAGATAGATAGATAGATAGATAGATAGATAGATAGATAGATAGATAGATAGATAGATAGATAGATAGATAGATAGATAGATAGATAGATAGATAGATAGATAGACTTTATTGATCCCAAACTGAGAAATTCTCATGTTACAGCAGTAAAAATCACAAAATAAAATTAAATATGAGAAGAAGTATGTACAATGCAGACTAAAAATACTAAATATATACAATAAATACAGGCTAAATATACTAAACATCCTAAGAGAAAAAAGTGAGATATGAAAAACGTGGGCTATTGAAATGTCTTTCAGTATTATGTCGTTTTTAATCTTTTACATTGTTGTTCTTATTACTCCAGATTTTCTGTATTTTAAATTGTGTTTCTTGTAAAGCGTCTTTGAGCACCTGTAAGAGCATGTTATAAATAAAAATTATTATTATTATTGTTATTATTAAAATAACAGGACTAATCATGAAACATGTAATCATAAAAACATAAACTGACAGCAGATCTTTTGCTTGTGAATAACAGTTTATTAGACAAATATATGAAACTCTAATGCACACATGAAATGAATGAAACTGGAGTGGCAGGTTGCAAGTAAAAAAGAACCAACAGAATTTAAAAGTTATTTAAACAATGTTTTTTCACACTTAATATTTTTTTTGAACTTGTAATTGTTTATTATTTCCTGGTAACAAAGGCAATATGATACTGAGAACTCTGAAAACAGTACTACTCAATATAAACTCTTCTGTTTATCAGACAGTAGACTCCCAGGTTCTTCATGGACCAGAACTTCAACCACCACCTCTGTATGGACGGCCTGAGCTTTACTGACCCAGTGGCTGTCCTCTTTGTCGTTCTTCTGGACGATTTTCATTGATTTTCCCTGTGTACAAACTGTGATGAGTGACGCTGACTCTTTTTGTCTTGTGTTTTCCTTTGCTTTTGTTGCAGGCTGTCGTGAATTACTGGACGCCACAAAACTGAAATGAGGTGAACTTGCCTGAGTGTTCTTGAAAAGAAGCTCCTGGATGAGTGTGGCATCAGGACTGTGTTCTCTGTAGTGATGGGCTTTTGGAGGCAGCGAGTAGTGCAAGCTGTCTGAGAGGACGTTGAGTTTAAACAGCAGCTCATCTAGTAGGCTTTCAAACTCCTCAAGGTGGTAAGTCTGAAAATTTCAAAGAGTAAAGTGATCAACTTCTAACCCCAAATAGCTGCTATCTCTGCTAATATTACTGAGAAATGAGACTGAAAGTAAATTCAAAGCAAATACATAACCAGAGTGTCATCTCAGTTGTTCGCATCACAATAATTTGACATATTTTGTCATAATTTTATTGCTACGTTGAGTAAACTGCTTTTTCTCACCCTCTCTTCCACTTCATTTTCAATCCACGGACTTCTACATGCACATCCAGTAATCTTGGAGACTCTCTGTCTAATGTAGTTGGTTAGTTCTGTCACAGTGAAGACATTCCCCCTAGTTTGAGATGTTTTGGCATCTCTGACCAAGCAGGATGCAACTCCCACAGCCTGTAAAATGGACAAACAACTTTCATGGTAACGATGATGAAGGCTAACAGAGTTTCTTCAATAATAAGTTGAGTTAAGACTCCATTCATCACTCAGAATGAGTAACAATTCAACAATTATCCAGTTAGATTTTCAATAAAGGAAAAAAATTGATTGTTTTGTTTATATGTACCATTGCTGTCCACACAATGAAGGACATATGGAGAACTCCCAGATATAGAGGATCACACCCAGAGCAGAGGCGGCCCTTTGACGCTCTGCCACCATGGTATTGACAGTGCAGAGTTTGAGATGAGCAGGAAGATAAAATGAAAGTCCAACAGCTTCTTGTAAGAAGGAGCTTCCCAATATAAGATAGCGCCACCATCAGGACAAGACATGAAATCTAGGACAGAGGAGAGACACTATTTTACTCTTTATACCCCAGTAAAGCGAAAACTTTGATGGAAATATGCACAAATAAACAGATCTTAAAATGCTGCTATAAGTGAAAGACATAAACAAAACTCTGCAACATTTAACACTCATGTTACATGATCTGATTATGTTGTGAAACAGACCTTTAAAACTTATAAATTAATAATAAAATCTGTGTATTATCTAACGATTGGGGGTCGTATTGAGCAACATTTTCTACCATTGGCCAGAGAAGTCTGGAAAGTGTGCGACTGAGGAGTTTAGCAGAGGTGGCAAACATCCTGATCCTTCTCAGCACAGTGAGACACTTCATGGTGAGGAGAAAGAGCAAAACTCCACACAGACTGTGGATACACTGCAAAGAGAAAAAAACATCTTTATCACTTTGCATTATCAAGTGATCACATTTTAAAGGGACTTCAAATACATTTGAAACTCTTTCAAAGGGAAGTATTGCACTGATCTAAAGCCGGACAGGGAGTGACAAGAGTCTCAACATCAAATATTTGTTCTTCTTGGTCCAACCCTCCTTCATCTCTTTCTTTCTCCCTCTCTCTTTCTCTTACTTGCTCCCAGTTTGCCAGGACGGCAACATCAACATGCCCTCTGTGGTTGTGTTTCTGCAGCAGCTTGACAATATCCAGGACAACAACAGAGCGATAGATGTGACAACTGTAATACACCAGGGTTACTATCAGCAAACCGACCTGTAGAAAAAGCAGAAACAGAAACTTTAGATTTTGTGCAGTTGGTATCCTGCTTTGTGTTTGACCTTAAAATCCCTTTTTCTGTGTGAATAACTTCACAGCTCTGTCAGTTCAAGAGCTAAAGATCACTTTACCCTCTCAGAGAGGTCACTGTGATCCTGTTTGCAATGTTGGCAAACTTAGGCGGCATATTTGTGTTCATGTGTCCAACCTGTGTTCACTTTTTTCACTTTGTTTAGGGGTCAATTTTTTAACCTTTATTTTAATGGTAACAAGTAGTCCATGGCCTTATGGATGTGCTGTGGACTCACTTCTAGCCAGTTGGAGGGCCTCCTCCAGTATCCCATCAGCCCCTGCTGCCCTGCAGAGTACGCCTGATCACAGATTTGCAGCAGAGACAAGAAAAGGAAGAGGAGCTGGTGGGGAAGAAGAAAAAGAAGAAGAAAAACATTCAGTTTCTACAACAACCAGATCATCGTTTGCTTCATTTTTAGAACAGAAAATCAATGGCGTTAAGTAGCATTTTACTTGGCTCGCCATAGCAACATAGTCCCCCACAGCAGGAGTGTGATACACCCTGACGGACTGGACTCTGACAGAGGGCAGCAGGACACCCGTGGAGCTCTGCTCAGCCATCATCGTCACACCAGTGAATAAGTTGGCTCCAGGGCTGAACAAGGTGAACTGGACTTTGACAGCAGCCGTCTGTCTGCTCAGCCAGTCACCTGAATGAAGAAGCTTCAGTTTGGACGCAGCATCAGACCTGCAGAGGGACCCAAAGTGAGGATTTCATGGACACTGAATCAACATGAAATACTTTTTCAGTGTGTGTCTGTGTGTTTCTCACCTCCTGTGGCCCAAACTGATGGATGCATTTTGTCCAAAGTTACAGCCCCACTGACCACATGTCCTTGGAGGTGTTTCAGGACGATTCACACTACTGTGGTGTGAATGTGAATGAGTGGGTGTTTTGCTCCAGGACAGGACTGAGTGAAGATATTCTGGAGTGAGATTTCGACCAGAGACCTGAGCAGAGTCATACAGAGCACAGAGACAGACTGAACAAAATTATAAATGTTTGGTACGACTGTGACACAGTGATTGCTTCAACAAACAAACAAAACAAGAGTTACTCCTCAGTTTGTGCAGGTTGAAAATGTATGGCATTGAGAGATGACTGAATTCCTCTCAGAAGTTACAACTGTGTGCAGTATATGCTTGCTGCTTTGGCTCGTTTGTTAAACAGCACCCTCTAGAGGTAGATGTGGAGTAAAAGTGTCACCAAACTGACTTTTTCACTTCTTAGAGCATTAAAAGTTACACTAGTTTATTCATTGTTATTACCAGACTGTCTTACATACTGGATTCTGATTGGTCACAACGATGATATGAATTAATTCTCAGATACAAAGCTGTCATGGACACTGCTGGAGCTGCTTGCTCCTCCTGAGCCACACGTTCCTGCTCACACCTGTAACCTGTTTGCTGATCACCTGCCAGTATTTAAGACCAGTCAGTCAAAACTCTTGTTGCCAGTTTGTCATCTGCGCTCCTGCCTGCCTGTTTGTTTGTATCTATCCTGGCAGTATTTTGAACTCTGCCTGACCTCTGTTTCGGCTTTTGCCTGTCAATTTTGTACCTCTGACTGGTTGAACTGAATTTTTGTTTTTTTTTAATTCTGCCTGTTCCCTGTTTTGGATTCTGCCTTTTGACACTGTTCTTCTGCCTGGTTGGACTGGATTTTGGTTTTGACTTTGGATTGGACTGATACTTTCCCATTTTTGGTATGCTAATTAAAATTCTGCTTTGGCCCTATTTCTGTCTTAGTGTCATTCTGCACTTGGGTCTCTTCAGAACTGTGACACAAAGCCTTGACGGCAACAACCTTCCACTTATTACATTCAGTTAATCTGCAATAAGGTACTCTAACATATTTCCCCTCTCTCTGTCAACGCTGTGATAAAATGTTAGCCTTCAGGAAACAAAGACAGTGACTGGGCAATGCTGTGAGAGAGGCCAGAGGAGCTACTGGACCCTGACCATTTCTGATGGGAAAATTTGGAGTGAAATTTTGTCCTGACATACAGGCAAAGGCAGCAGAGCTAGCAAGAGGACCTCAGGGCCGCTGAGAACGTTCATGTTTTTAAGAGCAGCGTCAAGACCCACCTATTTAGCTTAGCTTTTAATTAATATTTATTTGTTTTATCTTCATTCTTGTTAGCCTAGGTTTATTTTATATTTATTTGTATTTATTGTTACGAAGATGGTCTGTGTTTTATTCATATTTTAGTTTTTACTTGTTTTTATCCTTTTAACAATTTCAGGATGCCCAGTGTTTCCTCTGGGAGAGCCCTTGGCACCGGGTGCGGTGGTCACTTGTGGTTGCAGGGGCCAGCCACAGGGTTCCTGGTGGAGGTGTCTGTAACATCCCTCCTCTAACCCTGTGTTGGTGTCCTGTGGCTGCAGGTGGCTCTTTGCTCCTGGTGCTGACGGCTCCTCTGATGGCGCTTTCTCAACTGGTTCATCTGTACTCAGCCTCATTTCCACTATTTTAGTGTGTGTGGGAGTGTGGGATGGGGGGCATCTGGGATAGTTTTTTGTTTTTAACTTAGCTGTAAAGCACTTTGAGTTACATTCCTTGTAGGAAAAACACTTTTATAAATAAAATTTAGTGATTTATTGAAGGTGTTTCTAATTTGCTGATTGCTAAAAAGCAGTTCAAACTGTAAGGGTTGCTAATAGGAAAAATGTTATATGTGCCTCATTTCATGTTTAAGGCCTCCTATAGACAAAGCGATACCTTTTATATCTGTCTAGCTCATAAGGAGACATCACTGTCAGTTCTAGTCTATGTCTAGATCATAAGGAGAGATCACTGTTAGTTCTCGTCAGTTTCATATCTTGGTAAAAATTCCTCACAGGAGCATTAAGTTAAAATAATCATAAGTTAAGCTAAAATGAATTTGAGTTGGTATGGGATGTAACATTTAAAATGTAGTGTGTTGTAGTTGCTTACCTTGCCCTGAAATGAGCTTGACTTGTCTATCTTCCACAGGATTGGCTCTCCTATCAAGATGTGTGTCTGTTGGATGATGTCAAATCATTGAGCGATGGAACAAAAAGGTTAGAAACACTTTTATTAAATTATACCCTCTATTGTAGCAGGCACATGTCATTTAGTGGGTTATGAAGACATCATTTATTCTACAGCTCTGAAACTCTGCAGGCCTACCTTGGTTGCAGTTGATGCATTTATATACAGTGAGTGAAGGAGACAGGTCTGTGCCCACCTCCACCATTCATCATACTTTTGTATGGACATAAATGCAGAATCTTGACTCCTGTTAAAGAGAGAGTTGATTTAAAGAGCAACAAAAACAGAAGAAAAGATAGAAAATGTGTGCGTGAGTGTGCAAATGTTACCTTATAAAGTGTTTTCTGACAGCTTTGTTAAGATGACTATGGTCGATAGATGAGCTGCTGTAATTCATACACAGCATCAGGAAAAGCATGGAGAAACAGACGCTCAAATCCCTGAAAGACAAGATGAGAATGATTCTTTACACTGCTCTTCATTTCACACAAACATCTGTAAAAACACACAGATTCACACCTGAGGGTTTTGCAGAGAAGAGTCTCTCTCCTTTTCTTCCCACGGGTTGTCCTGAGTTCTGCTTGTGTTGGCGGTCTTACGTAACGGAGGTAGCGGGCTCTCTGGCGAGCTCTAAGCAGCTGTCAATCAGAAGTGATAAATTCTATATTAAAATAGGGACTGCAGAATAAATGAGGACAGAATGAGAGCGGAGGGTAGGTGCCACCTTATCGAGGTTTGAGCATCTCTTCTGGAGAAAGGCAGTTTTCCAGATCTGATCTTCTTGTTGATTTGAACCATCTTGGCTCCATAGTTTTGTATCTGCTGTTTCAAATTCTCTCACTTTGGCGAAACGATAAACGTCTGCTCGATTTCTGTACCAAAATGAGACAGCCACTGCTACTGTGATTATCTATAAGAAGAAAGTGCAAAGAGTTTGGTGTTAAATCACCTTCACATTCCAGTAAATCCAGTTTAACATAAATCCAAGAATATTTTTTGCATTAGTTTGAACAAAAATAGATATTAGTTTACCACAGCTGGCTGAATGACAAAGATGCAAGACATCAGGGAGAAGAAAAGAGAGTGTATCCAGAGCAGAAGCTTGCTGCTGCTGAACCTGAAGAATGAAAACACAAACATTCAATTTTACCTTTATACAATATTCACAAGTAAGTCGAAATCATAATTCATTGGAGTAGAGTTCATGTATTTTAACAATGATCTATTCACTGATATCATATATGCGCTACCTTAATCCCAGCACTGCAGACAGCACCAGGCAGGAGACCGATAGCAGCACACACAGAGTCCAGGCTAAACTGTGACTCCACTGAGATACTGGTCTGAATCTTCTCCTTTTGGGCCCAATGCTGGTGTCATCACATCTGCTGTGATTGGACAAAGATGCTCCATGATGGCTGCTTTTCTCCTTTTCCCCTGTAAGATCAGTCTCTTTTTGACAAGTCTGAGCTCCATCCTGAGTTACGGACAACAGAGATTTTTGGGATCCATTAAATCTGTTGCTTTCACTGAAGAGATCGAACTCCTTTCCCGAAACATGTGACGAATTTTGCAACTCTGGTCCTAGTTGTCCATCAAATATTAGAGCATGTTCCTTTCTTATGGCCTCATCTGTTTGAACCGCAGGGTCTTTATCTGTTTTTTTGTTTTCAACACACGTAGAGGACACCGACTGCAGGTCTGTGCTCTAGAAAACAAGAGGAAATTAAAGCAGGTGTAAGAAAAGGAAAGGAACAAAGACAAGACGGAATAATAATGATGTTGGTGTAACCTGGTATTTGTTCCTCCACGCCTCCTGCGCCCACTGATGAACGCTGCTCCAAAAGAGATGCGGTTCAGATACGCTGTCAGTCACCGAAAGAGCATCTGTGTAAAGAAACATTATGGTCATACAAAGACAGAGCATAATTAATGTTATTTTCATCTGATGTTGTTGCTCATTCTGAGGAAAGAGGGGAAAATCTGTGTCCAACGTAATCTCAGCTCACCTCCAAAAAAAACCTTCTCAGTGTCTCTGCTGTCTCTGTTTTGGACTTCTGGTCCAGACAGTTTGACCTCACGCAGCCTAAAAAGGAAGGATATCAATGCTGCGGCAGGTAACACAGCCACCACACTTACTATTCCTGTTGTCACGGAAACAGCTGATGCATGAATGAAGCCCACTTCAAACAGCAACTGCAAACAAAGCACCAGGAACATCAGCATTATAGGTGAACTATTTTCTTACTCTTGCAGACTTTGTAGCTTTTATGTTCATACCTGGTCCTCCATTTGTGATATAATGACCGTGTTCATACATGCATAACCCATCAGGAGCAGCAGGCTAACACTCAGCCTTTGAGTACATGTGAAAGAGTTGGGGTGGGGGCTGCTGAGTATAGATACCCACATGTGGTGGTCGGCAAGGTAGTCAGATAACTTCAGAGTCAACATCTGCAAGGACACATTTGCATAATCAGAAATAGATCTTATTTTGTGTGTGTTTGTGTGTGTATGTGTCAGAGCGCCACCTTAGAAAAGCTCATTCCCTTGTTGCTAACTTGCAGCATCCTCTCCACCCGGCCATCACCTTTACTGACAGCCAGCCAACAACGACCAACAAAGAGCCAAGCACGACTTTTTACATTCCCTCTGTTCAGCTGTTTAAAAAGTAGAAAACAGAGTTGATTCGAGTCAAAGCACAAAGGGAACGGCGCATTTTTTAAACAGGCAAGCTTACCTCAGATACCTCCACGTGTCTGAGGTACCAGGTGGGGCAGGGTCCAGAGTTGTCATGCCAGATGTGAACCCCTAGCATTTCACCTAAGCTGTCTGCTGCACTGTGGAGTCAGGGGAAGAAACTTCATCCAGTGTGTTGATTCAAAAAGCAAAAAAAGATAACAGACCTTTTCTCCTCACCAGATCGACCATCTTAATCTTATTTTACCTTAATATAAAGGTGTCCTGAGAGTTCGGTCTGAACAGCGTGCACCCTGGGACTTGTAGTTGTTTTGTCTGTGAAACCCCATCTTCACCTTTCAGCGCTATATAGACCTGGTGAAAAATTAGAGATGGTTTCCTTTTGAGTACACACTATACTAGAGACAGATATTATACACATACAAGCTATCAGCGGGAGAGAAGAGCGTTCACTTTGTCTACATGGGGCATCAAAACCACATCAAGCACCTCAGGGTCCCTTAAAGTTGAACTAGCTGTTGTTTTCTTTCAAGTGTAGGGGAGAGTGGGGTAAGATGAGCCATTTTTCATATTTCGGATCACTACATCAAGACAATCATAGTATTGTCTCTAACTAGTGTATCTGCATATATTAAAGATTTTGTTCATCCCTGCAAACCAACAGAATGAGTATAAACATAACTGTCTGGATAATATAGCATGCCAAAAAAAAAGTGGTCTCCTATGGTCAACTTACCCCATGTATGATGACTTTATTAGTCCTCTACTCTAAAATGGTGGACTTTTCCACTCGGTTTTTGACCTCATGTTGTCGCTCATAAACACCACAATTGATGTATAAAACTAATTTAAAATGATCTTTTTTGGTCTGAACACAATTCTAATGAAACTTATGACAGACTTAATTCACTTTCAAGAGTGAAAAATGCTTTTTTTTTAAATAAACGTCTAACCTTCACAGACTCCATGAATTGAAGCCCATCTCCTAAATATTTGGTCACATGATCAATTTCTTTCAATCATTTCTAAGCAACAGGGGGTGGCTCAACTTAACCTTTGACTCCAGTTACCCCGCTCTCCCCTACTGGTGTAATGTGGGGCATTTTGGATTTCATCACACGGAAGTTCATTGGCCGTTTCAGGTGTATATAAAGAAAGAGTCAGAGTCCATGTGACTATCTAAGAGGAAATATTTCAGAATGAGGGCTGCTGCTGGTGCTCTGTTGTTGCTCCTCTGTCTGGACTGGACATGGTCTCAGATCGATATGGGAGGCTCAGTGGGGGACAATATCAATCAGAGAAGCATTTGGGCTGAACTGAAGGAGCTGAGAGACATGGCTATCGAGCAAAGGGTGGAGCTCTTGAACAGCAACAGAAAGATAGAAAAGCTGGAGCAAGATAATTCAGGTAATTCATGTTATAAAAAACATGATTTAATGATTTGGTTCCATCTCCAGGCCAGACTGCCTGTCAGTAAAAGTAAGTAGACAGAGATTTAATGTTTACTCTCAGCTAAAATCTTGTATAAATGTTAGTGATTGTATTCAACCTTTGGCAAACCTTCAGGGAAAAGTTATCAAAGCTTGGAGTACAATGCTGCTAATATAAATCTCATCAATTATCTCGTCAGCTTAATAGAAAGCAGCTTTGCTATTAACATGCAACATTTTCAGTTTTAAGAGCCCAGATGAGCTCCATTGAAACCCAGGTGAAAGATCTGAAGAGGGAGAATACAGGTGAGCTACAACACTGATAAAAAGCTCAAATAATTTTTGCAAATGATTTATTTTATACAAAAGTTTACACTCATAAACAGTTCACTTTTCCTTCGTTAAAAACTCTAATTTTTCTTGAAACCAGATCTCCTGAACAGCCTAACCACGGCTGAAAGTCAGATCTCTGGTAAGACTGTTGTTGTTGTTATCATAAGAATTTGCTTAAATGTGTCAGCCACAAAACATTAAAACAGTGTTAAATGTGTTCATAGTTTTAAAGACCAGAATTAGCTCCATCGAGATTGGGTTGGAGGAGCTCCAGAGGGAAAATGCAGGTAAGCAAAATACATCATACATTCATGTCAAAAGTCATATTTTGGTGGTAGTGAGAAGAGCGTTTCATTAGAGAGCTTTGTTTAGTGCAGAGCCACTTCATTATGAATAAAACTGTTATTAATAATCACTGTTATCGTCCGCTCTTACCTGTATAAAAGCGCCATAAAAGTAAAGTTGTCTGTATTTTTTAACTATATTTTTTGCCTTGCTGATGTTTACATTAAAACAGACCGTCCAAAAGTGGCATTCACGGTCGGTCTGACTGATGTGGGACATACTGGACCCTTCAACACTGAAGTAACTCTTAAGTTTGGTAAAGTCTTCACTAATATTGGCCAGGCCTACAACCCCACGACAGGTATTCACATACTTCACACTTAATTTTCCCTTTTTTCCATATTTTAACCCTCTAATTATATTCATTCTATTGTCGTCACACTTCCTTGTTCTGTTAATTTTTGATTTGTTGATAAAGAATTTTACAGCTGTTGTAAAAAGAGGCTGTATTTTGATATCAAAGATGGTAAAAGGCTGCTTAATCCTTACTGGATACCTCCTTTTGTTGCAGGAATCTTCACAGCCCCCGTCAAAGGAGCCTACTTCTTTAGATTCAACGGGTGGGATGCACGATATTCAAACGTGTTAGGGGTCAAACTGTTCCACAATGACAAGACAATGACTCACTGTTACGATGTTAATGATAACCACGGCTATGTTCATGTGTCTAATGGATTTGTTCTTCAACTGGAAAAGGGAGACACAATCTACATGGTTCTCCGCACAAACTCAACTATTTGGGATGATACGAATAATCGAACGACTTTTAGTGGATTTCTGCTTTTTGTTCTGTGAAAATCAGCTATAAACACCCTCAGACAAAAAAAAAAAACTGTGTGATATCATATTACTCAATTAAAAATAAGTAAATAAACTTTTTTTTGTGTTATCACATGACCAATAAATCCCATCTTTTAGTCTAAGGCATTCAAATATCACCTTACCTTTGCACTCATATGGGCTGCAGACCAGGGACCAGTATGGACTGTCACAGTATAGAGATAAGGGTCTTGAGGCGAGTTGTCAGAGAGGTAGTGGACTCTACAGTTTGCCTTGGACACAATATCAGCTTGCCTACAAGCCATGATCCCCGGGATGTACAGGCAGACGCACAGCATCAGCACACCCAGGACTGTCAAATCAGTGGGCACACTAGAGACAAGAGGAAAAGGGGGATTTTCCATCTCATCTTTTATTCTTTTTAGAAATAAAACTGCAGACAAATATGCAAAAAATTACTTTGAGAGAGAAAAATGTCCACCTTTCTGTCAGGTCACAGAAAAAAGAAACTTTTCTCCCTGTTTGAATTTATTCTTCAAACTTGTTACCAGGTTGTTGCTATGGTGATGGTTTCAAAGTTGAACCTTGAACTCCAACAGGGTGAGTGAAAATTAGTTTCAGTCACAAAGGCTTTTTCTTTTCCTTTTTGAATCTAAATCATCCTGGTCTAAATGTGGATGAGCTCACCTCAGGAAGGGGTCCAGACCGGCTGCATCATGGCTGCTCTGAATCTGCTGCTGCACCACAGTCAGGGGCCTAAACTGCTGACAGCTGAGACAAACAGAAAACACCAACAATGCAGATAGTCATCTGAACAGTTCTCTCTGTCTCCACTTCTCATGCCTGAACTCTCCTTACCTGCAATTGACTGCAGCACTTGTGCGCGTTGGCTGTGTCCTGCAGCCGTGCTGCGTCCAGGCCCCCTGGTGGTCGTCCCAGGACAAACATAGACTGGTGTCCACAGTGAGACTGTAGCTGAGCCGCTCACTCAGGTGCTTTTGTGTGGCTGCTTTCCTAAAATCATCATTCAGAAGAGCCAGGTGTCCAACCCCTGCAGCTGGACATTTGTTCTGTTTTAGTATCTTAATGGCAAAATTCTCTTTAAATAAATATTCTATTTCCATGGTTGTTAATTTCTAATTTAATCTCAGTTTACAAAAAAGCTTCCAACTATTCATTCGGCCATATTTCAGTTGGTTTCAGTAATAATTATAACTTTGTTACATTGACTTGCTGAATAAAATCCATATATTTTTTCCACTCACCCATGGTGTCATGATATATTATGTTATCTTTTTTTTTTCCCGGGTTTTGTTATTGAAGTGTATTTTCTTTGGTAAAATTTCCATAGTGTTTCTGTTCCCTTGTAGTCCAGTCTTGTGAGTTTTCAGTTTGTGTTTGACCCTGTTTCTCTTCTGTTCTCTGTGTTTTATCCTTTAGTTCAGTTTTGTGTGTTTCCTGTTTTATTTTGTAGTAGTTGATTCCTTGTGTTTCTAGTCTGCTTTTACTTTCCTAGTTTTCCCTCCCTCGTTAATCACTCATGAGTTGCACCTGTGTCTCGTTTGCCTCACCTGTGTCTCGTTTGCCTCACCTGTTGCTCGTTTACCAGTGTGTATATAGTCCCTGTCTTCCCCTCTGTCCTGTTTGGTTTATTATATGTTGATGCGTGCGTCGCTTGTGTTCCCTGTTATGTCCTTGTGATATTTTCCCCAGTATTTTTAGTTGGATTTTGCCTTTTGGATTTTTTGGTGGGACATTTTGGAAGTAAGTTTTTGTTGCTTTTTGTTTAGTTTTTTTAATAAATCCTTTTTTTGTCTTTAACTTCCATTATGGCCTTTTGTTTCACTCTAGACTGTGACACATGACCTTTTATCTTCAAAAGGCTTTTAAGATTTTCACAAGTATTGATAAGTTAAATAAGTAATAACAAACCGATCATTATCATTTTAAACTGATATGTCACTATGTGTGATAATGTGAGGAGCAGTGAATGGATTTCTCACCATTAAGGTAGTATGGAGGCAGAGCGATACACAAGGTGTTTGTCTCCCAGTGGTGAATCTTTCTCAGGTGGTTCATGCTGGGAGTCGGCCTCTCAAACATCCTGCCACCAACAGAGACTCTTAGTTAGATTATGCGCCACTTTTATTTTTTGGTATTCTATAGTGACTTTCACACAACAGCCTTAGTCCCTGCCTTTTTACCTGAAGAGAAGCATGACAGGAAACGCCTTGTTGAGCGACGGCTTCAACACCACGCAAATCTGGATAGCCTGTTGCAAGTGCTGCTGGGTAATGTTAAAGGTGTGGTAGTTGATCTGGCCGGGCAGGAGGATGTGGTCAGAAGCGAAGCTCTTCTGCAGAAAGAAATCAACAATCAATCAACTGTACTGACTCTGTTACTATCAGGAAAGATGGAACAGTGACGTACAGTCCTCTGAGGTGGCTGCAGCTCGATGTTTATTGGCTGAGCGAGGGAGCGAACAGGGATCTTTCTCTTTGAGCCGCACTTGTACAGACTCAGGTCCACCACAGGTCCACTCGGCTGTAAAATAAAAGAGCAAAAAATCAGAGCGATGCCTTCAATCTTGGATCATTTCTGCTTTCATATTTTGCAAGTCTCACCTGTCCAGGTTGGCCGGCCTGGGTGTACGGGTTGTGTGTGAGCTCAGTCAGCATGCTGAGCACACACGGTCTCTCATTCTCTCTGTGTCGGATCAGGGAGGAGGGCAGGTAGAAGGTGCTTGAAACACCCTTGATGATTGTGGAGGTTTGGTTTTGGTGTCCGGCGTGTAAGAAAACAAAACCAGTGCTGACTTTGTGCTCCGAGGCTTCGTGAAACAAGATGTACTCCTAAAAAAAAGAGGAAATTAAAAGTAGAAAAAAGGGAGGAGAGGATATAAAAACTTGTGATAGGTGAGCATGCAGAGGATCATGTTTCTCACCAGCATCAGGTCTGTAGCAGTCTGCAGAATATCAGCCTTGAGCTGCAGCACCTGCTTTGTTGAGAGCTTTTCTCCGCTGGATGAGTCATTTTTTCTGTCATAACCATGTGAGGCTGATTCTGAAGTCCATTTGGTGTCACCACTGACTGATTTTGCCAATGAGGAGTCATCTCTATTTACAGCAGCTTGCAGGCTGTATGAGAGCAGGGCCACCAGGGTGTTTAGTGTCTTCTGGTCCAGATGGTACCAGCCTGGAGCTCTGGACTGTGATAACCGCTTTGAGATTGCCTTAACATGAAACATCACTCGCTTTGCACTTGCTAGTGTCACCTAAGCAGAATAAAGCAAGAATAAGACACACTTTTCAACTTAATCTTGATCAATAAAAGCCTAAGAAACGAGACCTACCTGATGAGTAACTTGTAAAAGATTTTCAAGGATGTGGGTGTTGTCTATCATTGAAGCCTGGAATTGAAAGACATGTTGTTAAAATGCTGCACAAGTCTGTAGTTCAGAAAGAAACACAGGAGTAAAAACAGGTAAACACTGAGAGGGATTTGTTCAAATCAGAAATGTCGGATTGAGTTTGAGTGTAAATCTCTGGTGTATACCTGTTCACTGCTTTCAAGCTCACACAGTGTGCAGATGAGAACGTTGCGTGTGAGTTTCTGTATTCGTGTGTTTGCCTCAGTGTCCCTGCTGAGTCTGTTCAGAATGTCGGAGAGGAGAGCGATGTAGTTACGGATCTCATTGTTGTTGCCGAGCTGCAGCAGAGCGGATAAGTTCCTCAGACCTGCCTCTGAACTAAAGAGAAAGAAGAAATGAGTGTAAAAGACGTGGAGATGCATGACTGTGGTCCTGCTGTGATGTGATGACATGGTGATCCTTACAGCTCCTTATCAGGATCGAGACCTGAAGAAGAAGAGTCACTTCTGAAGAAGCTCGGCTGGACTTGGACTGTTACAGGACATGGTCTAGTGGCTGTCCCATGGGTGCTGCTCCTGATCTCTGTGTTAATAGTTACTAAAGAGGGAAAACAATCATAAATTTAACTAAAAGAAAACATCTGTAACTCTAGCACCACTATATTAAAAAAACTAACACATCCCTGTATATGTATATTTGTAGGATTTTACCTTTATAGTCATCTTTAGGGTCACCAGAAGGAAGACTGAAGTAGTGCTGGATGTCCCTGCCCTGATACAGCATCCTGGGAGGTCTGTCTCCTACGCTGAAGCTGTACTCATACACCAAGTCCTTTAGCACACACAGACAATCACTGACATGAAGTCTAACATGCAGAAAACAAAGTAAATCCAACAAATACTTTACAATCATCTGAAAATGAAGTGAGTATTTATGAGGTTTTAAAAAACACAGAAAATACACAGGGTTAGCACTCAATGTTTTGCTTGTATGTGATACTGTTCATGTAATACCTCTTTCCCAGAGGTGCAGAAGATGCTGAAGTGTGTATACAATTCCTGTCCTGTCATTGGCTGCACCTGGCACCTCATCCCTTTTGGAGTGGGGTTGGTTTTGAAGAAAAGCTGAGACCGGCCCAGAAAACCATCCTGAGAACCTGAATCCAACAGGTAATAATCAGAACAGCATCCGGACACTCATCTACTCCCTTAGTTAGACGGTTAGATCAAAAACATTTCTTTTACTTTTTTTCTGAAACTGATTCTGAAAAAAATACAAAATTGTTCTGCTTGCCGCTGTTATCACATTCAAATACATTTAGCCTCAAGAGCGTCTAATTAGTTTTTTGCTTCTTGTGTGTTCGTAAAGTGCTCTCACGCCAGTTTCTAACACATTAACAATGACCCTAGACTTACTGGCCATGACCTCCAACATGTATCTGCTGCCGGGTCTCAGACTGAACGGTCTGAGGCTGAGCAAAGGAGAGGAAATTCCTGTGATGGTGAAAAGAAAGAGAAAGATATTTGACTTTTGAGGTCGATAAACACAATTTTGTCCCATTGAGTGTCATAAATAACATACCTGTGTATGTGTAGGACTCAAACACACTCCTGTCCACTGGGTCTCGATGTAGATCGAGTAAAACTGGATCCCGTGTCGTCACAGATGGCCTGTCATCCACCAGATTGCTGCCCTCGTCTTCATGAAATGTTGGATGGAACTCTTCATAATCTCCTGCACTATAGGTCTCACCATCCACACCTGATATACACAAGCAGGTAAACACACACACATCAGCATTTAGGATTCTTGGTAAACAAAGACATTAATCTCTCTCTATCTCTCTGTATTTCTCCCTAACCCAGCAGCAGTGTGGTGGCTGTCTAACATGAGTCTGGTCCTTCCCAAGGTTTCTGCCTCTTAAAAGGAAGTTCTTCCTCGCCACTGTCTCTCATATTAGATGAGATGGGTCAAATCTGTCCCATCTTAAGGTTGGATCAAACAATGAGTGTGGTCTAGACCCGCACTTTTTCTCTGGAAAGCATCTTGGAATGATGACTGTTGTGAATTGGCACTATATAAACAAAATTTTGATTGATTGATTGATTGATTGATTGATTGATTGATTGATTGATTGATTGATTGATTGATTGATTGATTGATTGAATGAATGAATGAATGAATGAATGAATGAATGAATGGTGCTGTACCTGTGGGCCGTCCTGCTGAAATCCCTGGATCACCTTCGTCCGGGCTCATCCAGGCAGCATCATAATCTGAAGGTGCAAAACGATCAGTCATACCCCTATTGTTGTTATAAGCTTAGAAATTTGCTTGTCACTTAAGTTTTTATCCCCCAGAGTGATTCATGAACTATGTGGAGCTGATCAAGAGTCTTTAATTCATCAATTCAGGACCAAACTGCAGGAACAGAAAAGCTCCAGAGCCGAAACTCCAGCCTATTTTTGCCTCACCTCGTCCAACTCCCGAGTCACCGCTCTCCGAGACAGGAAAAGAAAGATCCCAGTCAGCAGACGAGTCCAAATCAATTGGTGATTCACTGATAACGTCACTGTCAAAGTGCTCTGAATATTGGATGCTGCCGTTGTCAAGGGCAAGAGACTGGTATTTAGTGGAGGAGTGCGAAAGCTCCCGAGGGTGAAACCCCCCCTGTGGGTGATAAAAGGGCTCCTCTCCTGGAAATAAAGAGGAAAAGCTGTTAAATTATTCATAAACTATCCTTTTTACTGTAACGGTGACCTTGCACATTATTACCTCTCGTCGATTTTCTTTATTGATGCACATATCTCAAACACTAATAAGCTATTTGTGAGCATAATAAACTTTACATTCTCAAGCATTTCTCCTCCATGAATTAAACACTAAAAGCTTGCAGCACTGTAAAGAATCATAATGTTTTCCAGGCCTGCCTGAGACTCCTGTCTAAGATGACTACAGAAGGGAAAGGCTCAGTTTTTGACAAACCTGAGGAGGAAATGAGAAGTTGCAGAAAGTTATTTTCTCCTCCAGTGTGCAGCACTATTTCATTTATCTGTTTTCACTCAGGAAACCACCTGGGAAGCACTGCAGCTGCTGTTTTATCACTTACTTGACTTTTTTCTGTCATCCTTAGAAAATATTGAGCTCTCAGTCGGGTTTGGGTTCGGGTTCAGCTTCCCGGCTCTTGCTTCAGATGCACTGAAAGCATGGATGTCATGTGAGGTATCTGAAACAGGTGGGTGCAAGGTGGACATCCCAGGAGTGTGAGGAGGTGAAGCTGCAGAACCCTCCCAGATGTTTATCGGAGCACCGAGATCCAAGGTGTAACAAAATGGGACTGGAATAAAACGAAAAAGGTGGAATTATGGTGTTGGGTTTTTTTTTTTTTTGTAAATCAATAAATCAAATGATTCGTCTCCAGGTGTTTTTGTCTGTTTTTACCATCTGTGACAGGCTTGGAGGATGCATTGACCAAGTACAGACTCCAGCTGTACTGCACATCGTCTGAGGAAGTATCACAACCTTTACAGACGGCTCTGAAAGAGAACAACTGATCCCAGTTCAGCTGGTCTCCCTGGCACTGAGAGCAGTCGATAGACACCTCCCTTTGTTGGAAAAGAGGTATGTTGAGATACAGCACACACTCTAACACAGGAATCTAATTCACTCACAGTGAAGTAGTGTTTCTTACCTGATTACATTTTGTGTCAATGTGACAAAAGTCTCAATTGAAGTTGAGCGCTGACCGCTGTGGACGGTGAGCGTGAACTGGAACTGGTCAAAGTCGTGTTTCAGGAAACTCGTGGGAAATTCAAGCACAGGGGACGAAGAGGGGACACTTTGGTGGAAACAGGAGCTGGGGATGGAGCTGACGGGTTTACATGTCCAACTAAAGCTGCAAAGAAGAAATCAGAGAAACACTCTGAAGTTTGGATGTCGGATGATAAGCACACACGCCTCAGATCCATTAAAAGTGTTCCTCTACCTGAGTGGGTTTTCAGGAAAATCTGGGTCATAGGATCTCTGCCCATCCAAGGTTACCACAGAGGTGTTATGGTTGTTAATGAAGATGTTGGTGCCGCCCTGAATGAAGGCCACAGGAGGACTCGGTATCACCTGCACACTCACGCTGTAGTTACTGTACACCACACTGCCAACGACCTGAACCTGCAGGATAAAGATGGATTATAAACTCTTCAAGAGAGTCCCAGAGACCAGTTTAGAGGTCAGTACAGGACAGTTTTTGTCACTTCGTTGTTCATACCCTGGCTACAGCAGTGTAAGTGTCATAGTTGAGGAGGAACTCGGGCAGTACGAGGCTCTGTCTGTGTGTGTCTATAAGAGGCAAACCAAAGACGTGTCCTGCAAAGTCAAATAAGGTCCAGGTGTAGTGAAGGCCTCCTGAAATATCACAGTCCACTTCAGTGTCATAAGTCACCCCCAGACGGGTAACCTCGTGTCTTCGAACCTTGAAGAAAAAAGAGAAGATGAACTGGAGACTGTTGAAAAATAATGATCCTTCCAGTTATACTTGCTGGTAAAACATACCTGCACTTTGAGGGGCCCCATGTTTTTGACAGGTGGAGGCTGACAGGGCCGGTCGACAACAAAGATGTGACGACTCAGAGAGGCGGAGCTGACCAGGTTGGACACAGTGACTGTTACTGTGAACTCTCCTGTCCTAAATACAAGAAAGCAAAAATACATGTCAAAGTTAAAGTTAAAGCTGATGTGGGGAACTTTTGGGTTGAGTTGATACCAAAACCCCATGTGGACAGAAAGGAGGTTATTACCATCAGGACTGATTTGTTATTTTAATGTCTGCAATCACAGCCCAGGGTAGATGACAGTCGCAGAAACAGCTTTAGTTTACATTTTAGATTTAAAATGAAAAGATTCTCAATGAGTAAAACATAAGAGTCAGATTTTATATAAAAAACAAATCTGTATGGAACTGATGAGTATGAGTACTGATGGTGAAACTCGCCTGAGGTAGACGTGCTGCTCTCTGCTCTGTCCCGCTCTACGTGATCCGTCTCCAAAGTTCCACAGGAAGGTGACATCAGTCCCCACGCTGACCCGACAACTCATCATCACTGTTTGGTTCTGTAGGACAGATGTCGGGTGGAGCAGCTTGTTGAGCTTCACCGCTCTCTGGACAACCAGCGGGAACACATCAGAGGTTACGGTGCCCCAGCTGCTGGACATGACTACGACGATATCATACCTGCAAAGTCAAGAGAGGCATTTAGATATATACTTTTATACTTTATTGATATTTATTGCCTTTATGAGGAGCAAAAAAAGTTTTGTTTGCCTCATTTGGGAAAGTTCCATACCTGCCAGGTTTTTGGTATCTTTTCAAAATGGTCCTTGAGTTGGTTCTGATTGATGTGGAGTCTCCAAAGTGCCAGAGGAACTCCACAGGGTCTGGTACTTGAGCCACAGCCAATAGAGTTATATCTGTATTTGTTGGATAAGCTTGATTTGCTGCATAAATCTGCACTGAAAGACAAAAAAAAAGAAGCAACTGGCTGTTATTATAGTTGTAGAAAAACAGAACTGTTGCACGACAAAAAAAAAGTACAGCGTAAAGTGAATAACTCAATTCAAATTGGAAAGTAATTGGTGTTTTTTATAGCTCTATAAATAGGCTTGAGAAAAACCCTACAGTATGTTGGCCTTACAAAAAAAACTAGTTTACAATTGTTTGTATCCAGGAGAACATTTTTGTGAAATGATTTACTGATAAAAATGTCAGAAAAGTGCTTCAAATCTAAAAGAAAAGTGAAGTCACACTCCTCTCTCCAAAACGCTTAATTAACCTTCAGATGTTCAGTCTCTCTCAGTGGGTGTCAGATAAAAATGCTTCCTCACCATTATGAGCCGAGCCGTGGACTGGATTCTGACCGGTAGGTGGTTGTTGTGTGGGATTAACTGAGACCGGGAGTGACGGCATTCTGCTCCCCTCAACATGCACCATTGTGTTTTTAATCTGAGGCGACACATCCACAGAGACCCCCTCACTGGGAGTCAGCTGATTCCCTGATTCATTCACTCCCAGGTCAGGGACAGTAGGACGCACAACCACCTGCAAGACACAAACACAGATGTCTGACACAAGATCCCTTTTGGCTTTTTTCTACATTAAGCTCAATGTTTTATAGCTTATTTCAAAGATTTCTATCAACAACAGGATCCAGAGATGGTAGTAAGAGCAGAAGATGGGCCTGAGGAGATTAGCAAATACTGAGACTGAATAGCAAAGTGTTATTGGCTTTAGTCTGCAGGTTATTTTAACTATACGGATCTTTCCTTTAATAACCTTCTAACATGAGGAGAGCATTTTTACTAAGTGAAAGCTGAGCACTCACAATATGTCTTTTTTCCTGTGTCCATCCAAAGGCACCAGAGGCATTCACTGACACGATGTAAACTCCCTCCGTCTCAAAGATCCACTTCTGAAAGTATTTAAAATAAAACTCTTTTATCTGTCAAGTTGAAAACATGATGATACATTAGTGAGGAAAACTTCATAATAAAAATGCTGCTGAAATTTTTTAAATATAATTTTACATCCATTTCTATGCAGAGAGACTTCAATAACCATCATTTTATTAATTGGTCATTGTGAATTTTTAGGTGCTAAACCTTAAACCCTTATTTTTGAAAATAGGCTGATAATCTAAGTGGATGTGAAAATATTAGTACACTTTAAATTAGCTTCCAATTTCTCTTTTAAAAGGGATGTTAAGTCTAAACTTCACTCTGAACTTTTTAAAACCTTCATTTTATTTGTGAAAATGCAAATTATGAGAAGAAACAAATCTGTGAAAATACAGAAAAAGGAGATTTTACTTTTTTTTTCACTTTGACAGCCAAATAGGAGGCCAGTTACTCAAAACTCAAAAAAATAAATGTTACCTATTCATGTGTTGTAATGCTAAAATGTTTAGGTCATATCTTGTTTTTATTGAATGTGTATGTAAAATTGGCTCAATTTGCTAAGGCCAAATATTTTTGATGTAAATCCAGATTCAGTGTAAAACAAAAAATAAAAAAAAATTGGTGGTCAGTTAAAATAAAGGAACCCAAAGCTCTTAAATCAGATGATATTTTCTTTTGTGTCTGAATCATACAGCAGTAACTCACTATTGTTGTGTTTACAGACTCGCAGCAAGGAAGGTGAAATTTCCTCATGTCCTCCATGTTCGTCTCATTTCCCTCGTGGGTTAACTTCCAGTTAAACTCTGCAGCAGAACCATCAGCCAGGTGTGCCTCTAGTGTTACAGGGTCGCCCCGGTAAACTGTCTCTACAGTCACATTGGTCACATCTGTCTGAGGCGAGGAGCTGCAGGGAGGGACACCCAGAGGCCCGTGAAGCACAAAGAAAACCAAACTGTGAAGGGAGGGCTGGTAGACTGAAAGGTGGACGGTGGAGGAGAGAGCAGAGAGAGGATTGGAGACAGTGACGCCTGGATGGATGAAGAGAAAAGGGAGGAAAGAGAGAGACAACACTGTGACACATTTTCATTTATATATCTATAAATCATTAATCTAGTGGTTCTCAACTGGTGGGTCCCGCTCCAAAAGTGGGTCATGGACACGTTCTGGATGGGTCGGGAACAGCTAGTCATAAAAGTAAATATTTAATGTGATATTTATTAGATATTTGATCATTTCTGTATAAGCAACTTCGGTAGTTGTCGTCCTCATGTTGTCCCCTCCATGTGCTCTGAAATGCACTTTATTCAATAAAACAAGTAGATTTATGTTAAAGATTAGAGTCCTTACAGGTTTTTTTAATAAAAAATAAATTTACTTGGTCTGAATTCGATAAAAGTGGGTCGCGACTTAAGGACCATGGGAAAATGTGGGTCCCAGAGTGAGACCAGTTGAGAACCGCTGCATTAATCTATGATGAAACTGTTTGCTCTTTTTCACATACTGAGTTGATATTTTCTTGGAGATCCAAAAACCCAGTCAGCTGACTGAGCAAAAGAGCCATCATCAAGCACAGTGACATGGTGTGAACTTTGACCTTTAGGGGCCGGCTCTTCAAACTCGACTTTGACAAACGAGAGCTCCTCCCTATCCACGCCCCTCAGCCCTGAAAAGCACAAAAATCATTGAAAGCAAAAACAGATATGTAGTTCATCTATCAAATATTTTGTCACTCAATTTTGTTTAAAAAAAAAAAGACTAATCAAAAAAGGATTTTATTTTGTCTTTTTTTCCTCCTTGTTTGATATTTTAAGATGACATTCAAACATTCTGGTAATTTTTGTCCAATATAAAGCGATAAACATTCCCTCAGAAATAAAAAAATTTCAGCTTTAGATACTGCGGTTATGCTGTGTCACACTAATTAAATCAAGTTATATCAAATTCATTATCTAAAAAATCCTGTTCATCATTTTTCACCACAAAATAATTCTGCAGTTGTAGAAAAAATACACAAAGTCAGTTGCTATGGTAACGTGTAATTTTGTGCAGCTTTCCTCTGTGTTGCACATTCATTATTTGCTTGGTTTTTATAGTTTTATCGAGAAAACATTTTTGGTTAAAATAAATGAAAAAAAAATATTTGTATATGTTTGAAACAGTCATATTTTATTGCTGTATTAACTATTTCTAATTGGAATTTTATTATACAGTGCATTGCATTCGCTGATACATAATGCATATACTTTAATTAAAAGGCCAATAGTGTTTTCAGCAGACAGGGAGGGAATTGACAAAAGGGAAAAAGTGACAAAAAATACATTTTTAAAGAGACAACATGCCTATCACAGAAATTCTAATTAAGATTTTTTTTTTTAACAAAATAATTATTTTTCATTAATATAGTAAGTTTGAATTATATTTCCTCATGCGTGCAACTGAGTGCTGTCTGACCTGTCGGCTGACTGGGGTGTCCTGCCAGTTTCCCTGACACTTCCACAGCAAAAGTTTCCCCAACCTGCACCCTGTGTGCAGAGACAGACAGACAAACCCTGAGCAGAAAAAGTCCTTCAGCTCTGTAGAGTGCCACACTTCCTTCTCCACCTCCAACGGGCAAGGAGAGGACACTGAAAAAGAAAACAGAAAAGAAAAGAAAAACTGGTTTGAAAGAGAAGTCCCCGTTTGGCATTAAAACCAAAGAAAAAGTCATCAGCCCGTCTCACCTTTGTCTCTCTCCTCTCACTTCCTTTGTCTCCTCTTTATAAGACGTGTTCAAACACTCACTTCCCACCAGACTATGTTTCCAGTTTCCACAGTAGCAATCAGCTGAGGTCAAACCTGCAACCTGGAATCTTTAACAACAAACACTGTGAATTCATAAAGCTGCACATGATGGACTTCTCTCATCTGAATGCACAAATAGGAAGCCCAGTTCTTGTGTAAAATCTGGTGTGACACTTTTGAGACATAGAGTTGGATAGTGACACTAAAAAACAACAAACACAGACTGTATCTCTGTCTGGGTGCACAAGAAATTGATTATTTTGGTATTTCTAAGCCTTTTTATGACCAAAAATATACCCCATTTACAGAAAATTGTATCCCATTTGAGTTTATTTACAGAATTTTCGTATAAGAAGAAAAAAATGTAGGAAAATACGAGTTTTGATTCCAGTACATTACATTTTGAATCTTTCCTGATGTTTGAAACTAAATTCTTTTTTCCAATATATTTCACACAAAGACGAATTTCCACAGATAGCATTTTTTTTTTTAAATTGCGTAAATCGTTAAGGGAAAAAATACTGGAGCCCCTAACCCTAACACCATTGAAAAACTACTGTTATCATGAGTAATGAATTTTAAAAAGAAGGATTTTTTCATGTAATTTTGCAGAAATACTCGGTATTAAATGACCCTTAGTTTGAGTACATCCGAGTCATTATAGTTTACCCCTTTTCCAGGCAGCGGATACGGCAGGTTACCGGGTCAGGGTCACGTGTTCTTCCGGGTGTATGGAGCATGCTACCGGCGTTCACGCACCCCACGAACCACGGAGACTTCTCATGAGGAACTACTGCAGGGAAAAGACGAAAAAAGGAGATGAGTGAAAAAAGCGTGGAGCCAAACGAAATGGACATGTTTAAATCCGAGAGAGGGCCCAGCCAAAGCCCTGCGTGATGGACAGATACAGGTGGAGGCTACTCAGAGAAAACCAGGTGAGTGGCTCTCTGTACTGTGTGAATACAAGGTGTGTAAAAGGTGGGAAAACCGGGGGACTGTATGCAAATGGAAGAAAGAGAAAGCTGCAAAAGAATAAAAGAAAAATCGGGAATCAAGGCCAGTGGATTTGCTACTGCGCAGTGAAACACTCGTGTATTTGGTCGACTTTAAACTGCTTTATATTCTTGGAGATGTCAGTGTTTCAGAGCAAGGCCTGATGTTGTTGCTTCATCCTGTTTCTGCACGTACTAAACGGTGTTCGTTATGCTGTCTGCTATATTTGGAGAGTTTAAAAAGCCTACATGAGTCTGTTATTTTAGTCCATCTAGTGTGATCCTTTAAGGTCAGTGTCCATGTTAAAGGCTTTTTTAATCTGTTTTTCTATTTGGTGAAAATCACGTTGAATTTTTTTTTTTCCGAGTGAGTTTTTCATGCAAATTAAAGCACCTCCCTGAGTTAAAAAGGCCTGAACAAAAAAAAAACCGTGACTACATTATAAACAAAACGAAAATACACACAGAGGGGGTTTCCAAAGAGGACCCTGTGTTTTCTTTTGAGGCTGTTTTTGCGCACTGTTGGGTTGTTTAAGTGTTGTAGTCTGTGGTTATAAAAACGTGAACCGATCTGGCCTTAGGTGACCTGTATACGCGCTCACAGCTGGCCCACGACCTGAGGTGTGGAGATTATTTCTCTCCGCTGGAGTTCACGTGAACGACAGTGAGTCAAAACGCGATGAAAAGTGGATTATTGATCTGATTCCGTTACCGGTTTCTGATGCCTGTAACCACACGAGGGTCGCAGGCTGACCTCTGTTCTCAGATCTCACCTGGAGGGTTTCAAAAGCGTCTGACAGAAACCACAGCGAGGCGTCTTTACGCACGTTCAAATATGTTAGTTTAGAGTTGAATTCATGTAGGGAAGTGACCTTAATTGACATCTAACTGAGCTTAAGGAGTCATTCTATGCACAAAATGCAAAAATATGAATCCTCTCATTCTTGAACTGACAATTAAAGTCTTTAAATAAATCTTTTTGTGACCAGGTGGAGGACAAGAGGGACAAACTTCACTCGCCTACCTACTGCAACCTGACTGAAGTAATTGGCTGTAATTAAAGGTAACTCTTTATAAAACGTCTTGATCTGTAAATGAGGAAATGTGGACCTCTCTACAGTTCAATTTCCCAGCTGTGAGTTTTGAGAAGGGGAAGACTGTAAGCTAAACCACGACCCTCGTCTCCAATTACGCACAGTTTTTACGCAGCAGCCTCCAGCTCGCTTTAAAGCGCAAACACAGAACAGAACCACTCAGAACCTCTGATTCGAGTCCAGTTTGCCCTGTGAGCCCCTTTTTAGAAAAAAAAACATCCACCTTCTCGTTGCAGCTAACTCCACCGGTCCACCTTAAAAAACTCTTCCGGTTTCCCTGACATCCCCTTTAAGAGATTTCCCTCCATTCCGCGCTGCCAGCAGGGGGCGCCGCCAGACCGCGCTTTCACCACGAACTGTCTGTACCAGCGAGGGGCACGGCGGGGGGAATCAAATTCATTTTGTCTGACCATTTTTCATGCGGAATACGGGCATATTTGAGTGGATTTCGTTCCGTGTCTCCACTCGGGGACTCGCAGACGCCTTTTCACGGTGGAATCAACACTTAAACACGCGTGAACACACAAACACGACCAGATCGTGTTTTGATTTGCATAAAAGTAGATAAAATTATGTTTTTGGAGTTAATTTGATACACCGTCATCTCCATGTATACCACTGAACAGTCGCTGGAGTGAAATCGATATTAGACGCCCATTTTGGATCCAATTAGATCATGAGGTGTAAATTACCGATCATTTCAATCAAGTAGATTTTCTTCAGTGTTCTACAGAAACCCCTTGAGTCCTTCTCGGCCCCCCTGGAGATCCACGGACTCCACTAAGTCGCATTTTTTTCCACCAGAGCTCCTAAACATCTAGAAGCAGCAGCCCTGGAGTCGTGTCGGTGGCCTCTGTCAAACCCACTGCAGGGCCTATTAACATCCAATGACCTGCTCCGTTCGTTCAGCGCGCGCTGTGCCTTCAATGTGCGCGTGCGTCGGCGCAATTAATAAACGACAGCGTGAACGAAATCTTAGAGAAAAGGGGAGCTGGTGTACCGGCGTCACGGTGCTCTCCGGCGCGGAGAGCCGTAATAAACACTCAAAGCGTTATGTAAGAGTCTGCAGATCCCGAGGAGGACACAGAGTCCGCTGCAGAAACCCGCACAGCTGAGTGCGGGATAGACTGCCAGAGAGCTGCGGGTTTTAGATAATATTGTCTTCGTTAAAAAGAGCGAACCAAGGCAGACAATCGGCCTATTTACGCAAAGAAACACATTTTTAGACTCTCATAATTACTCCAGTCCAGATCATGAAATCAAAGAAAGAGTTTCTGAGGTGTTCAAATGTGTGTCTGTAACAAAAGAAATTCATAAAACGCCTTTATATGGTTGATCAGATGATCTGTCGAGACTGTAGGTCACAGTTTCCATTTTTACGCATACATGAAACAGAAAGAGTTTCATTTTCTTTTGGAGAAGCTTAATGAAACACTGATCCTTCACAAACCACAAACTCACCCGTCTCTGCTCGGCTGTCTGATCACTTGGAGGACTTTTTGTCCACAGCTGAATTCCACCCATTAATAATTTATTAAAGTAAGATCCTTTAAGATGAAGATAATTGGACCCATTAAGAATGAGCCCAAGAATAGGGGAGACTGGGGTTATTGTTTTATTTTCAGTTTCCAACGTAACTCACAGAAAACTTAAAATACAGGACAGCTTTAGCCACTGATGAGTGTTCATACATTGATGCTTCTGATGCATCAAGCTGAAAAGATGAACAGTGTGTTTATAGATTATAGATTATAGATAGATAGATAGATTAGTGTATTGTAGACAAACTAGTTTTGTTTTAAGATAGATGTCATTATATCATGTCTGGTTTTCTGGAGGTATTTGTAACAATCATGAAATATTTGACTCTGTGGTAAACAAAAGTACTTGTTCAGTATCTGGTGTCTTATAATCCTGCTGAAGATGTTGTCATTTTTATGCCCTCTGGTTAAAATTCTTCAAGATTTTATGTGTTTGTATGAATTCACAGCAAAAGTGCCATCTGTTAAGTAGATTTCAACTGATTTAATTAACTCAAAATCACATTCAAACCAAAGAGACTCATCAGAAAACAAGTCAATGAGCAAATTTTAAAGTGTGGTGCAAGATAGATGCAAATAATCCAATGAGACAAAATGGAGGTTATATACACGTCATTAGTAAAAAGGGTGAGAAACTACAAATCTGTTTTCTTTCAAATTGATTAGATTCATTCAGAATTTTCATCCCAAAAAACATAACTGCTTGAATTAAACTATAACACTCTTTTTAAGTGTTAACTGCACTGATCTGGCAGACATGATAAATCATTTCCATATCAGGTAACTACTAATAAAATTCTATTGATTGATTTAGTTAAAATTCTTACAAAAGCTTTTGACCAAATTGATTGAAATTTTAAAATTCACAGTCATCCAAACTTTAAACAGCAAGAATAAATATTACACAAACCCCCAAAATACCTCACCTTTATTTTTTTTGTTGTTGTTGTTAAAACCCTCTGCTGTGTTGTGATGTGATTATCTGACCGCTTTAAAGCCTCAAACTAGTGATTCCAACTGAGCATGTGCAAACTATTATCATCATAACTTCATTTGTTTCTTGTTGGCGTGGTGAATAAAATATATCCCGGTCTCCCCTACTTTTTTTTTTTAATCTATCTGATGGAAATGTTAAAGCAGTGATATTGAATCAGCATTTTTTGGATGCATATTCACAGAAGTTATGAGAAATGAATGTATGACACGGGGATTCCCTGAACACAAACACATTTTTCTTCTAATAAAGACTGAAACCGTTTCAGAGAAATCCTCAAATGACTCATGAGTGAATTTGTTGATGTTATGAAAAGGGTTGAGTGTGCGCACAGGGGGGTTTCCACCTCATGGCTACCTCACGTATTATATCTGTAATTATTGAAACAGACGTGATTATTAACAAACAAATGAGACAAGTGTAGCAGATTTTGCAGTCATGGCTTTTGCATGAAAAAAGCGAAAAGCCATCACAATCAATGAAAAGCAGTATACATTTTATTTGTGGAGTAGACGATTGTAAATTGCATCAGTTTTTCCATTTGTAAGACATGAAGTCATATATTTTAAGAAACACTTTTCCAAGAGAAAATCCGCCATTTTACCGCTAAATTGACGATAAACTCCAGTATGACCCATTAAAAGCATCAAATATCATGGTGCTCTGTGCATCCAATGAACAGCTACTTCATTATACGACACTGAAGGCTATGTTTAAGGAGACTGAGATCGTGTAGTTGAGTTACTATCACCCAGTCAGCTGCATTGAGAGCAGAGGAGCACAAAGGTGCTTGATTCTCTTTGCGCACGGAGCGTCTCAAGGCTCTGCAAGCTGCTGAGCTGTTGCATTCTTTCCCTTTTCTGGTTTCTCATTATAAATTAATGATGCAGTTATTTCATTAGGGGTACATTCTGATCAATGACGAGCAAATAATAAGGCCCAGGGAGCGATGAGGTTCTTGATACAGCAACAACAAAAAAAAGAGTAAGAATAATTGGAGTTTCTGGAGCGAAAGCGCAGCAAATTTTCCCATTGAGAAACAATGCACTGACTATAAAAAAGGCAAAAATAAAACCAGCTTGTATCAGCTCACAAAGATTTATTCAAGCATGTTTGGTTCAGTCTTGGAGTAAAGCTTCAGTCCTGCAAGTCTAGAG